CACATCCCACACTGGTGACTGAGCCTGAAACCCGGGCATGTGCCCCGACTGAGAATTGAATCGTAACCTCCTGATTCATAGGTTGGTGCTCAACCACTGAGCCACACCAGCCAGGCAGGCTTGACAGTCTTTAGTCCTTAAGGATATGTCTGAGATCCCTGACACCTCTGAGGTTACTTGGAGACTGAAAGAATGTGGAGATCTGAGATTTTTGTATCTTCTACTGCCATGGTTACTTCAGGATTTCCAGAAACTCCAGGAGATGTGGGTCTTTGAGTTTCAAGACGAAACACAACAAATACCGTCTCGCCTGGTCCTTAGATCTAGGAGGACCTCAAGTTCATGATTGGGAGGAACTGCAGAAGTCATCCAGTCCCAGTATTCCATTGTGTTCCTCCATAGTGCAGTTAGTTATTCAACCCCTGCTTGACTGCCTTCAGGGACCAGGATCTTGCTGATTCTTTTTTATTTTGTTAATCCTTACCGGGAGGATATTTTTCCATTGGTTTTTAGAGAGAGTGGGAGGAGGAGACACACAGAGAGAGAGAGAAACATTGATGTGAGAGAGGCATCGATTGGTTGCTTCTCACGGGGATAGAGCTTGTGACAGAAGTACATGCCCTTAACTGGAATTGAACATGGGACCCTTCAGTCCAAGGGCTGATACTGTATCCACTGAGCCAAACTGGCTAGGGTAATCTCGCTAATTCTTGAGAAAACTCATTTCATCTCAGATCACTAGGAACACCAAGGAAATCTAGCCTTAGCCCAAGCTGAAGTCTCCATCTCTGTGGCATTACCCCCATTAATCCTGACTCTGCTTCCCAGAATTATGTGGAATATACCTCTTCCACATGGTAGCCTGTTGGCTGTTTGTGAACCATGATCCCACAGGCCATTGTCAAACAAACATTCTCTGATTTTTCAAAGAGTTGGCTTTAATCTCTTTACCATCCTAGTCTCCTATGAAAAAGTGCTGAAAATGTGATGCTCAGACATAAAACGAACCAGATTAATGTCCATATTTAATCCGGCATCTAGAAGGGTTCTGGAATCTGGAGAAGGGGCTATGCATAAATTAATAAAGAGAACAGAGACAAAACAATGTTGAAAGGCATATAGGGGCAGGGGGCAGAGGGACCTGGCTAAAGAAGCCAGGTTTTCCTTGTCTCAGGACCCCTTGCTTTTTATTAACACAAATTGTCCTTAGGCAAGGTGGAGATATACACATCAAAGGCCAGGGTTAGTCTACAGAGTCCATTGTGAGATTGGCTGTTCAAGTGTTTGGCCAACAGGAGGCAATAGCATGTAGATTAAGATGCCCTGAGCTGTCTGGTAGCAAATAGTCAATTTAATACAACCTTTTCAGGTTTGGGGAAATGCCTTTGGCCATTCCCAGCAGGCGATAACGTATGTGACTCAGCCCTTGTTGAGTCCCCAAGTTCCATCAACCTTTCGATGAAACTCTTGCAATTATGATACGCTGGAATTGGCTTCCGGCACATATCCTAACATTGCCAGTTCATTTACTCCCATTAAGGGCCTGATGAGGCAAAACAGTACCCTGTGGACTCAGTTGGATGTCATTTTCTATACTTTATGATCAGTCAATGTGTTGTCAGGACACTAGAATCTACATTCTTGACCCTCCATACTAAATAAATCTCACAGAAATATGAGGTGGTTTTGTGTCCTTGGGAAAAAGACATTAAAATAATAGATATTATAAAAGACTTTTTACAATAACAAAAAGGTAAACATTCCAGTAGAAAAGTAAGGGGAAACCAAAAGTCGGAAAGTAGCAAAAAAATAAATGCAAATGGCTGTAGTGAGTGAAACATGTTCAGATGTATTAATTATTAAATAATTTCAAAACAGTAATGAGCTCAAATTTGGAAAGATGTCCATGATATATTCACAGGTTAAAAACTACAAGGTGCAGACCACTGAGTATAGCATGATTCTAGTTTTGTGGACTAAATATTTTAATATATATATATACTCTGGGTCTCTACAGATTTAGGGCAAATGGTGTGAATATCTACCAAATAGTGGTAATCTCTGAGGGACTGTATTAGATGCTTAAAATATGATGCTTATTTTCTATAATTTAAAAAATATATATTTTATTGATTTTTTACAGAGAGGAAAGGAGAGAGATAGAGAGCTAGAAATGTCGATGAGAGAGAAACATCGACCAGCTGCCTCTTGCACACCCCCTACCAGGGATGTGCCCACAGCCAATGTACATGCCCTTGACCGGAATCGAACCTGGCAATGTACATGCCCTTGACCGGAATCGAACCTGGGACCTTTCAGTCCGCAGACTGACACTCTACCACTGAGCCAAACCGGTTTCAGCTTATTTTCTATAATTTTTAATTTATATAATTTTAAATATATTTAGGACTGTATTGGATGCTTAAAATATGATGCTTATTTTCTATAATTTTTAAAAAATATATTTTATTGATTTTTTACAGAGAGGAAAGGAGAGAGATAGAGAGCTAGAAATGTCAATGAGAGAGAAACATCGACCAGCTGCCTCTTGCACACCCCCTACCAGGGATGTGCCCACAGCCAATGTACATGCCCTTGACCGGAATCGAACCTGGGACCTTTCAGTCCACAGACTGACACTCTACCACTGAGCCAAACTGGTTTCAGCTTATTTTCTATAATTTTTAATTTATATAATTTTTAAATATATATATTTAAACCAATAATTAGGTGTTATGTTCCATCCAATAAGCAAATATGTTTAAATTGTAATATCTAGAGTTTATGAGAATGTAGCTACATGGGATGATACTCCAACCAACAGAGCCCTTTTTGTGCTGTTTTTAACAGAATTGGTATCAGCGTTGTACCGGCTGCTTCAAAAGAACTTGGCAGCGTTCCTTCTTCATGCTCTAGAATAGCTAAAATAGCATTTGGGGGGAAATAAACCAAGTTGGCGAAAAGCAACATTATCCTGGATTGGATCCTAGAACATAAAAGGATCATTAGTGGGGGAGGGGGGAAGAGGAGAGAGAATGGTGAAATCTGAATAAAGTCTATATTTTAGTCAATATTATTGGACCAATTTTAATTTCTTACTTTTGACAAAGGTACAATGATTACATAAGATGTTAACATTAGGGAAAACTTAAGGGTATATATGGGAACTCTCTGTATTATCTTTGAAACTTTCTATACATCTAAAATTATGCTAAAATAGGTTTATATTTAAAATAAAACAAAAAATTATCAGGAATAAGGTACATTTTATAGATTTAAAATTCACCTTTTAGCCTGTCTGCACCTTGGACTTTTTTTAGAAGGGGGAGGTAGCTCTTTAACAACTTTCTCTTCTCTGGTAATTGTTTATTTAGATTTTCTATTCTTTTAGGGCCATTTTGTATTTTCCTGGAAAACCATCTGTGTCATCCAGGTTTTCAAACGTCTTTGGGTATTATTTAGTAACTTACAATTCCTTTAGTATTTTCTCTGTTTCCTGGTTATTTCCCAGTGTCATATCTTATTTTGTGTGATTATTTATTGGGTTGTAAAATTAACTTGGTGATCTGAGACCAGTATTTTAAGTGAAATAGACTAGAATAGAAAAAATATAAACACGTATTGTTTTATGAACTGGAATCTCAACGCATGTATTGTTTTTCTTGGTAATCTGACCATACCTAACTATCAAAGCACAAGTGCATGTAACTTTTAGCCTAGCAAATCAATATTTGGGAACTTCTCCAGGTATATAATTGCATACATGCAGAAATGATATATTACAGTATTACTTGAAATAGCAAAAAACTGGCAGTAACCCAAATGTCTACCAAGAGAGGGCTACCTTTAAATTACAGCACACTCATACAACTTAATACTCAGTAGTTGTCAGAGAGAATGAAGAAGCATTCTGTGTATTGGTGTGGAGAGAGACCACGATCATGCTATATTCTAAGGAGAAGAAAGCCTGGTGCCTAACAATGTGTGTGGTGTACTACGTGTGCCATGTTAAAAGGAGGAAATATATTGACCGAAACCGGTTTGGCTCAGTGGTAGAGCATTGGTCTACGGACTGAAAGGTCCCAGGTTCGATTCCAGTCAGGAGCATGTACATTGGTTGCGGGCACACCCCCAGTGGGGGGTGTGCAGGAGGCAGCTGGTGGATGGTTCTCTCTCATTGACATTTCTAGCTCTCTATTCCTCTCTCTTCCTCTCTGTGAAAAATCAATAAAATATATTTAAAAATAAATAAATAAAATAAAATAAAAGGAGGAAATATAAAACCTGTATTTGCTTGACGAGGCATAAAGAACGTCTGGGACGACAAATAGAGAAGGAGAGCAGTGATTACATATGGGTGAGGGAGCCGGTGGATGAAGACAGGTGTAAGAGTAGCAGAGAGATCTCTCACCGTACTTCTTATTGAACTGTGGTAAAAACACACGTAACACGGATATCTACCCTCTTAACAAACTGCTAAGTGCACAGGGCAGTAACTGTATATCCTTTTACCGACTAGGGTTTGAATCATGCCAATGAGTCACCTATTCAGAAATTAAATGTACAACACTGAGCAAACGAAGCAGCACTCAGAAGAACAGGCTGGGCCTCGTGCAGTGCCTGGGGCTGGCAGAACTGAGCCGCACAGTCAGGGTGCACACACAGTCGGGGTGCACACACAGTCGGGGGGCGGGGGCAGTGTCACGCAGTAAGGTCACAGTCACAGCTGGAAAAGCCTTCTCTATTTTATTCCCTCATCCTTCCGTTGAACTGTTTGCATGTTACCAGGAGCCTGAGGCCTCCTCGGGGCCCGGGGCTGCTGGCAGTTCACTCTGTGGCCCTGAGCGCCTGTGTGTGCCCATCGCAGCCGGAGGGAGGGCCCTCGCTGTTTGGTGAGCGTGTCTCTAAGCGGGCAAATACAGAAAGCACCAGAGGGACCTGTCCGAAGCCTCTCCTAAGTGTGTCGGCTAGCTCCTTAAGACCATTCTTCTTCCGTGCAGGTAAATGGAAGAGCTGGAGACTCGGAAAGCACACCGAATAGAACAAATGGTGGCGAGATGGCTTCGACGCTCCCGGGACAGCTCCGCCCGGTAAGGCTCCTGGGCTGGCAGTGATTTCTGCCTGTAAAGCTTTGGTGTCCCCGGGGGAGGCGGTTAGGCCGGTCTTGGCAGCGCCTGGGGATCGCTGTCTCCGGCTCGCTTTGTTCTCACACCACATGGAGGGAGAGGTGTACACAGGTCAGCAGTTTGGCTGGAGCGCCTTCCTCTCTGTCCTCTCCCACCAGCCCCCCCCCCCCCAACGCTTCCCTCTGCGGCCCTCAAATGTGCACCCCCAGACACAGACACACTCACACCGAACTCACTCACACCTGTACACACAGACACACCAACACACTCACCCACACACGCACAGATATGTGCACCCGCGCTCACACACACACTTTTGTAAACACACACTCACCCACGCCCTCTCCCTCTCTGCCTCGCACGCACCCCCTGTCTTCTTACTTGAGGTGAGGACCAGACAATCTGCTGTTGACATTCCTCCCCAGCCTTTGTTTCTGGCAGCTGTCCCTTCCTCGCAGTCCCTGTTTCATTCTAAACAAAATAAAATGAAATCAAATACAGATCTGATTTGACTGCTGCAAGAGAACTTAAAATATGTTCTGTTGCAAAGTGTTCCTTTTCCATCTCCGATTTCCCTTCTGGCCCTGCCGCGGAGATGAAATATCACGTGTCGGGTGTTTCTGAGACACATTCTTCCGAAGGAGCTGGGAACGGCCGTGGTGCCGCTGAGCAGTGAACCTTGCTCAGGGCTGCCCTGCCCTGTGGCCACGTGCTCTGGCCCTCACACACGGCGATGCGATAGGCTGGCAGTGTTAGCCCATTTCATGGACGAAACAGCCAAGGCTCAGAGAGGGACTTGTTCAGGACCCTCACCAACCCCCCTTCCCCTGTTCAGACAACCCTGACGGGTCTTCATTTCTTATAGAATGAGTTTAAACATTTTAGGTTTGGCATTCAAGGTTCTCCATGATCAACCCACTATCCTTTACAGCTATTTGTCTTGTTGCTCTGCTTCATTCACAGCAACCTCCAGCTTACAATGACCTACTCACAATTCCCTTATTGTGACCACCCCACCTTCTCTTCCACCCCTTCGTTAGACCCGAGCTTCTTGTCACATCCCTTCCTCCCATCTCCATGTGTCCAGAACCCACCTACAGTGCAAGGTCTGGCTAACGTGCTGTGTCTTCCATGAAGCGGTCCCAGCCCACAGTCAAAATTAATTTCCCCCACAGAGCCCCGTAGTATCTGATTTGTAGAATTGTCGATGTGCTTCACCTGGTGTGTTCAAGCACATCCCCTTTCTTTATTCTAGATTGTAAGTTCTATGAGGGCAGGGAAAGGATCAGCCCCATCTCATTGCCCAGAGCCGTGGTGGGCAAACTTCGGCTCGAGAGCCACATGCGGCTCTTTGGCCCCTCGAGTGTGGCTCTTCCAGAAAACACCACAGCCTGGTCGAGTCCATTTTTGAAGAAGTGGCGTTAGAAGAAGTTTAAGTTTAAAATATTTGGCTCTCAAAAGAAATTTCAAATGCTGTACTGTTGATGTTTGGCTCTGTTGACTAATGAGTTTGCAGACCACTGGCCCAGAGGATTGCAAGTGGGTTAAGTAGGGCTTGATGAACAAATGGGAAAACTGCTAGGTCCATTGTTTTCGAAAGTGGGTTTTGCAAATCCTAGTGTTAGGCTGCTCCTTAAGAAAGGTCAGATCTGTTTGGGAAGTGATACAGCCTATCTCCCACTCCAACCCACCCCTACTTAGTGATTCATTTTAACACATTAAAGGCTCCGAGAACTCCTGCAGGAAAGAGATTTTGCATAACTTTAACTTGATGTTGCCTAAATATTTGACATTGGGACTCTCTAACATCCAGCTTCTCTTACAGAATATAAATAAAAGGTAACATTCACCTCTAGGAAGTTAACATGTTTAGTGTCTATATAGAACTGTACAATCACCAGAATCTAGTTTTAGAGTTTTTATTTTAGAACTCTGACTTTCAGTAACCCGAAAAGAAACTCCGAACCCACTAACAGTCATTCTCAACTTGCCATTCCCTCAGCCCTCAGGTAACTGCTCATTTACTTTCTATCCCTATAGCATCTCCTGTTCTGGATATTTCACATTAAATGGAATCATATAATATGTGGTCTTTTGTGACTAGCTTCTTTGACTTAGCGTGTGTTCAAGGTTCATCCATATAACAGCATGTATCAGTATTTCATTCCTTTTTATTGCCAAATAACATTTCGTTATGGAATATTTACTTTGTTCATCCATCAGTTAATGTACACTTGGGTTGTTTACACTTTGGGGCCATTATGAATAATGCTGCTATGAACATTTGTCAGTAACTTTTTGTTTAAACATGTTTTAATTTCTCTGGGGTAAATATTTAAGAGTAGAACAACTAGGTCATAGAGAAACTCAATATTTAACCTTTTGAGGAATTGCCATACTGTTTTCCAAAGCAGCTATGCCATTTTACATTCACGCCAGCTGAATAGCATGGTTTCAATGTCTCCACATCTTTGCCAACACTTGTTATCATCTGTCTTTTTTATTGTAGCAGTCCTGGTGGGTGTCAAGTGGTATCTCCTTGTGTTTTTATTTTTTATTGATTTTTTTTACAGAGAGAAAGGGAGAGGAATAGAGAGCTAGAAACATAGATGAGAGAGAAACATCGACCAGCTGCCTTCTGTGCATCCCCTATTGTAGATGTGCCCGCAACCAATGTACATGCCCTTGACTGGAATCGAACCTGGGACCTTTTAGTCTGCAGACTGACGTTCTATTCACTGAGCCAAACCAGTTCCAGCTCTCCTTGTGGTTTTGACTTGCATTTTCCCGATGGCTAATGATACTGAGCATCTTTCCACGTGTCTAGAAAGTTTTGTTTGCCAAGTGCTTGAGAAAGAGAAGGAAAAAGAGGGGCAGGTTCATAGCACTGTCCATGGAAGACAATTTCTGTGTTTCCAGGATAAACCACAAGTAGCCTTATTTAAATTGCTTCTCATCTCTAATCCTGCACCTTCAACACAGTATGGGTTTTTAGTGTCCTAGGATTACTTGATGAGCAAGAACTGAAAAGCTGCCCTGGCTCAGTTGGTTGGGACATTGTCCCCATACACCAAAAGGTGGCTGGTTCAATTCCCAGTCAGGGCACATACCTAGGTTTTGGGTTCTATGCCTGGTCGAAGCATGTATTGAAGGCAACCAATCTCTCTCTCTCTCTCTCTCTCTCTCTCTCTCTCTCTCTCTCTCTCTCTTATTAGTGAACATGTCCTTGGGTAAGGATTAAAAAAAAAATTTTTTTTAAGAACTGAAAAGCTAAGTTTGGAGGTGGATAATTGCCATTTTTGCAATTTCCCTGGAATTTGGTAATAAATTTGGTAGAAAAAATGGTAAACCAATTAGAAATAGGATTTACATTTGAATACAAAAATTGACTGAGTTTCCTGATGGCCAGGGCAAGAAATTTAAAATTAAATTGAAACGTTTTTTTTTAAGTCCAGAAAAAGGAAACAAGTTCATCTGCAGCCATATATGTTTGCACATGTCTTGTAGCAATCCTGCTGTTGTTTCAGGCTTCAACAACCTCCCATTCTTTCAGATGGTTGTACTTTACTTGTAATTGCCATTTCCCCCCATAAATTTTAGACCTTATGTCAGGGTATAATTGAATCCTCTGGGAACAAATTAGTTGAAAATGACTGTGTTCATTTCCAAAACTCACTAAACAAATTGATAACTTTTATCAACCTGGGTAATGTTAGAACTTTAGAATGCATCCAAAAACGGTGCTTTTCTGGGGAAGAATGTCAACTTCCAAAGTTGCTTTGATTGCTTAAATTTAAAATTAATTTTGAGGGGGTGGCTATTTATAATCATTAGTCAAATTCAGATGGTGGTACTCAATTTGAATGAGAGACTATTTGGGGGGTTAGCTATTTCTGAAAGAGCACTGATACGGTAAATATTATTTTTATATTGAAATGTGAAGTTATGTAAGAGAGAGTAGCCATCTTCATATCTGATACAAAATTATTCAGTTGCAAAATTATTCAGATATGATGAAGATGACTACTCTCTCATTACGTAACATCACATTCCAATGTAAAAATAACATTTACCGTATCAATAAGTAGCTAACCCCCCAAATGGTCTCTGTGACATGCTTTGAATTTCTCTATAAACAGTGCGATGCAGACTACTTAGCAAAAGCTGCAGCATAGTGACTAAATCATAAACTAATTTGAAAGCATTTTGCTTTGAATTTCATTGTCATCTTAACAGCTTTCTATAACTGTAGAAGTGATAAAATGAGAGTTATAGTATACTTATCTCCTTAATTATACCAATTTTTCCTCTCCTGCAAAAATTTTGTTTTTTATGTAGTTAAATGGTATTTTATTTACAATTTCTTGGCTTGATTCTAAGCTTAGAAAATCATCATCCAATAATTAATTAAATTAGGTTAATATTTGAACTTAATAGTTAAAATATTTTCTATTTAATTATTTTATATGGAGTTTATTTTTTTCTCTTTTTTAATATTTTTTTATTTTATTGATTTTTCAGAGAGGAAGAGAGAGTGATAGAGAGTTAGAAACATCGATGAGAGAGAATCATTGATCAGCCGCCTCTTGCACACCCCCTACTGGGTACGTGCCCACAACCAAGGTACATGCCCTTGACCGGAATCGAACCCGGGACCTTTCAGTCTGCAGGCCGATGCTCTATCCACTGAGCCAAGCCGGTCCCGGCTGGAGTTTATTTTAGTATAGACTAGGAGATGAAGATCTAATTTGATTTATTCCAAAGTAGCAAGTAGTTTGACTTACCATTAACTGTGAGTGGATCTTTCCTTTCTTTGCTGATGTATGACCCCTTTTTTATCATCAAGGAAATCCCTGTGTCTGTGAGTGGTAGACTGGATCTCTTTCTAGGCTAGTTCTTCTGTTCCATTGATCTAATAGCCTGCCATCACACACCCATATTAAACTAATTTACATTTATTATCTATTAAATGAGACTTTTATTACTCGTTGCTTTTAGCTTTTTGCTTTTACCTGCCTATTTTTCCATGTGAACTTTAGAATAAGTTTATTATTAAAAACAATTCAGCATAAGATTTACTGAATTTTCTTATGCTTAATCTGGAAATGTTAGTTTTATAGATTGAGGTTATAAAGAAACCAAGAGCTTAATGCAACTTGATATCTTCTTGGTGCTTGGTTTTATCCTCAGGTTCTGAATAAGATGATTTCTTTCATCTTGAGTCCTATTACGAATGAACACACATGCCTGTGCACATGAGCACACAAACAGCCATATGTGTGCACACACATGTACCGTGGCAACTTAGTGTCTCTGCCCTTGCTGTTTGTTTCCAAATTGACCTTCTCAATACCACCATTGTCTGCTGATTATTAGACTTTCTAGTATCCTAATAATGGTACCAATTTTTATTGCATTTGGACCCATGGGCAAAGTGGAAAGATTCAAGGAGATAGGCTGAGAGGCTCCTGCACTGCATGTGCAGAGTTGCCATTGTCTCCCGAATCCTTTTTTAAAAGTAATAACGGAATGATTTCTCCTCCTCTCAACTGTAGGCCTTTGCCCTATAGCACTGTACTCACAACGCATACGTTCAGTGATCCCTTCGGAACTGTCACGGCCACAGCATAGTATCACATTTCTTTCTGGTAGAGGGTGCTGCTACCCCTATTTATTCTCTCCTTGAATAAACTTTAGATTGCCAGACTTCAGTTTTTAAATCACTTAAGCTGAACATACTAGACAGTGTTTAAACAGAGATTCGAAATAGTTTCTCCACATTCTGCTGGTACTCAAAGATGAATTCTTTATTGTTACAACATAGAGGTCAAATATAAAAAGCAGATAAAAAAGCTAGAGAGTATTTGAAGCTTAACCTGGTATTTTTCCTTTTTTGTGTTATTGATCAGCTCAATATGAACTGATAGCCCATAAAATATGGAGTTGGTCTACAGGAGACTATTTTCATGATAAATTTAACATTTTTTTTTCTGGTTCTACCTTAGGCTAGATCCCATTATAGGACAGGAATTCCATTAGTGTAACCACAGGTCTTATTTCAGTTCCAATGTAATATCAGAGGAATGATTTTGGATTTATGATTTGAAACTATTAGATAGCATCAAAATTGATCCTATTTAACCATGTGATAAATGGGTGTTTTGTTTTTTCTCTCCTGTTCTCCAAACATTTATCTGCCTTCTCTATGCCTAGCACTGAATCAGCACATAGGCAAGAAAGACCGTTTTTGCTCTACGAATTATAGTCAAACAAGAGACTTCACACTGGTCATTGCAAATAGTTGTACATTTCAAAAAGGGAAGCACAGTTTCCACGAGCATTTTCAGCAGCGGGGCAGTTGGGGGGAGGGGCAGCAGGCATAGGTTTTTGGGTAACCATTCCTTAGTTTGACATTTATAAAGTGCATCAGAAGAAAATTTTGCTAAAGTGTCCGTTTTTCTTCAGCTCCCCGCCAGATATAGAATTTTATTTTTTTAATTTAATTTAATTAATTTTTTTTTATTTTTTTTTATTTTTTTGTGTGTGTGTGAGGAGAGGCTATGGTTTGGTCATGTTCTTTAAGCAATCCCTTTCCAAACAAAAGCTGAAACGTGGCCTTCAGGGAAAACGTCAAATGCAGACTTTGGGCCAAAGCTCCTGGCAGCGTCTAGGGATTGGTCAACACAGTGGGGGTCATTTGTCTACTATTGTTGAGGAGAGCATCCTTCCAAATGGACAAGTCAGATAAGCTTACCCACTGGGAAAGCATCAAAATGGATTCTATTTATAACCAGGTGATGAGGTTTGTTTTTTCCTTCTGTTCTCCAAACCTTTACCAAGCCTTACGCTATGCCTCGCATTGAATTCAGCACGTGGGACGAGAAAGACAGTTTTTGCCGTATGAACTGTAGTTGGACAAGAGACTTCACACTGGTCGTTACAAGTATGTTGTACAGTTTCCATGGGCGTGCTCAGCAGCGGCAGGGGGTGGAGGGAGCAGGGTTTTCTGCCAAAACCAGAGGACAGAGTAGGAGTTGGGCAGGTAAAGTGGATGGCCAGGTGTGTTGGGGGAATCTGTGGAGAGTGTGTCTGTTGGGGAGGGGTGGATTCTAGGCAGAGGGAAGAGCTTGTGCAAAGGCCAATGCACTTGAGGAACTCCAGAGAGACTAGCTTGGAATCCAGCATAACTTCGTCCAGTTACTTGTGTCGCCCTCTATTTCATCAGCTCATTCAGATTGACTACCCCCTGATACTCATTCAGCTAACCTGTTGTGGTTTTTTTTTGTTGTTGTTTTTCCAACTAACCTGTTTTTAATGAATTTGTTGAATGCTTCTTGTGGTTGTGTTTTTATCGTGCATCTTCACCAAACTTTGTGTTTAGCACTAGCAATTCTCTGTTGGTCATTTTCTAGGTGTATATCATCATCTGTTTAAAGACAAAAAAAAAAAAAAGTGGTCCTTTTCCATTTCCTCTGCTTATTGTGCCTCGTACTGTTTCCCTTCTGTGAACACTATTACAAGCATTCCTCCCGCTACGTGAAATAGGAGTAGTGTCTGAGGCATCCTTCCTGTTCCTCTTGTAAAGGAATATAGGTGTTGATTTTTGACTTTCAGTGTACTATGTTATTCGTTATATTTAGAAGGACCCTTTCATAGCTTTAAGGCATTTTTTTTTTTTTTTAAATCAGGAATAGCTACAGGTTTTATTCTGTACAAATTTTCACAGCTTTCTATTTCTTCCCTCTCATTAGGTCTATCTGCTGACACTTCTCAGTACTACCCCTGTGCTCGCCTAGGAGAAATCTTCTCTTTGCTTTTAAGCTGTGTGAGTCAGGTCGCCCTCTATTCAGTCAGCCTACGCCTGCTGTCCGAGGAGCTCCCGGATGGAGAATGTGCAGGAGGCTCTGCCCTTGGACTTGTCCCATGCCTTTTTGGCTCCACGAGACTGTTTTTCCTGTTTCCTGGTCCTCGTTGAAATAGGAGATCATGATAAATGACAGAGAGGGATTCCCAGCTAAGTGGGGTCCTATTGCGTTAGTCAGAGTTCCTGACATGGTTGGGGAAATGGATGAGAATGAAAGATGGACCTTAACTGCAGAGGCCCGAGGAGCTGTTCCTTCTCCACCTTTCTGTAGTTTATAGTGGCAATAAACTCCTCACCCCATCACAATTGGACCTTCCCCAGAAAGAACCACGGACTCGTAGAGGGAGAAAAATCATTTGCTACAATCCGGTAAACCGTCGTTTGTAACGCACTTTGTGGTTTTGAGAGATAGAAAACACAACTTTCAACTGACACCTGACTTTAGGTGTATAGAGAGCACATAAGATTTTAAAAATTAATATGGAGAAAGTCTTCATTGTCGGGGTTTCATATTGGAAATGCTGTCCTCTCCACATTCCTGGGCCACGGAGGCCGAGGGGAGAGCAGCTGCTCTGTAACCCAGTTACAGAGTTGAAAGGGGAGCAAAATCCATCAAAAAGCAAAACAGGTGAAAGAATCACCAGAGACACAGTGTGAAGTAGGTAGGCATCATCAGACACCCAAACCAAACAGCTCCTCAGTCCTGCTTGCAGTCCATGTGTTTCCTCCCTGTGCCTCCGCTCAAGCGGTGCCTTCTGCTTGGAATGCCTGTCCATTCACCCACCCACTCCCCCACCCGCCCGCTCAGCAGCAGGTACTGTGCCAGGATCTGGGCCGTGAGGGTAGACCCTCAACATCTTTCAAACATCCCCTCTTCCAGGAGGCAAATGCTTCCCTGATTCCTTATCCCTCCTTATCCCCACCACGTTAAAGCTGCTCTCCCCTCTGAGCGCCCAGAGCAGTTCATGACACGGTGCTCCTCAGTGTGTTATCTCCCCATGTTTGTGTCTTATCTCTGTCCAGGGAGCATTGTCCACTCAGCTCTGCATCGTCCTCCTCGCGGATGAGAGGGCTGACTCGGCGTGTAGCCACCCCATAGGACCCCCTGTCTCTCTCTCTCTCTTTATATTCTCCTTCTCTTCCAGGGCTAAAGTTGCTGCAGCTGATGGGTCCCCTGGGATCCCAACCCAGACCCTCATCCCTGTGAGACACACAATAAAAATAGACAAAGACGCCCTCCTGCAGGACTATGGATTTCATATTTCCGAGAGCCTTCCCCTCACAGTGGTGGCCGTCACACCAGGTAGGCGCCGGCTGGGAAATTGGAAAGGAGCTTGGCTTCCTGGGGGCAGAAAAGCCCTGGTTCTCTTCCCGTCTCTCTATCCTGTAACACAATGCAGAAAATGCTTCCCCAGGAAGCTAGAAAGGGCACGTCTAATTCTGGCCTAATTCTGACCTGATTCTCTCTCGGGCGTTTGCACCTTCCTCTGGTGCTGGGAAGGAGGGGAGAAGCATCAAGTGCACTTGCTGATCTGAACCCCTGACTCCCGCTGGCCTCAAGCAGGGGGCTCTGTCCACCCTCCGCTCCCCGGCCAGTCTCAGGGGCAGGGGCAGTATTTGTATTTGGGTGCACCAGTGCTCCTCTTTGAACCCACCAGGCTGGGGACAGTTTCTGGTCAGACCGTAATAGAAATTATTGATTTCTCTTCACTTGAGTCTTCGTAAAATACAGGAGCAGGCTGGAAATGTTGACTGTTTGCTTTCGCACTCCAGCTGTGTATTGATGTGAGATCTGGCGTTAGCTAAAACCTGTTCATTGCGGTTCACACATGCAGTTCTTTAGAAATGAATGTAGTAGACTTACTGGCCGGCTCTGTTGATCAGGGAGTCCTGCTGGTCGTCTCTCCCAGGACAGTCTCCAGTCATCCCTTGAAGATGATGGATGGCAGGGACATCATCCATGATTTGTAAACGGGAAAACGGAGATCCACCTGGGCCTGAGGCTGTCCGGGGATCAGGGAGGGGGAGGGGTGAGCCAGTGCCCTGGGAGCTGGACCAGGCTGCCATTCGGGTGTGGGTGCTCCAGGGCCAGCCACAGTTACTCCTTTTCTGTCTAACAGGGGGCTGTGCTCACGGCAAGCTTTTCCCTGGCGATCAGATCCTCCAGGTGAACAACGAGCCGGTGGAAGACCTCTCCTATGAGCGAGCAGTGGATATTCTGAGGTACAAAATGTCTTCCGTCACCCAAAGTCGCACGGATTATCACAGAGCAGCGGCGGATGAGAGGGATGATGGCCCGGTGATGTTAGTAGGATCCTGCATCCTGTAGAGGGGCAACAACAGCTTCATTCTAGAATTCCATTTTGTTTACAATCTTCTCTCTTTCATCTGCCGACAGAAGCAATTGAGAGGCACAGGGTGCTATTTGTCAAACCTTCACTATGGCCAAGACACTGTGCTGGATACTGCGGGGATGTAAAGATGAATAACACATAGGCCCTACCCTTTAAGAATTTGTAGGGTTGTGGTAGATGCCAATGATTGGACTGAATTGATCCTCAGTCTCTCTGTTCTTCTTTAACCTTTTTTTTTTTTTTTTTTAATGTTTTATTGATATTTTACAGAGAGGAAGTGAGAGAGATAGAGAGCTAGAAACGTCGATGAGAGAGAAACATCGACCAGCTGCCTCTTGCACACCCCCCACCGGGGATGTGCCCGCAACCGAGGTACATGCCCTTGACCGGAATCGAACCTGGGACCTCTCAGTCCGCAGACCGACGCTCTACCACTGAGCCAAACCGGTTTCAGCTTTTTTAACCTTTTTGATACCTCTTCTTAAATGTTATTGCAGACACAGCCTGATCGGTGTATATGTACTTCCATTGATACGGCACCTACCACCTTCTACCTGGTGTCACTGAGATTTGTGTAAATGCCTCACTTTCTGCCTACACATGATCTCCTTGCGACCGGGCACACAGTGGGTGCTCAGCTGAACGAGTGGCTATGGGTGGCACTATGTTTTCCGATATAGCAACCTAAAATACCTGCGTTGCTGCTATGTTCTCTCTTAGAAAAAAAAAATTTGAACGTAAACCTAGCTAATGGTCATAGCAACTGGATGAATTCTTCATCATACAGACTAAATTAAGTCTAAGTGACTTAATTCAGTGGCTGTAGGCATCGACTAGGTGGTAGAGGCAGGTATCTGAAGATCCCCTCAAGGGGCACTCTGTTCATTCCCTTGCAGATCACTGCTTTCCTCAGTGTCCTTCTCAATTTTCCTGAGCCAAAGAGGCTGAGGAGAGAGCAGCTGCTCTGTAATTCTGCCAGTCTTTTTTACCACACACACACACACACACACGCACATCACCCAGAGTAACAAAAATTTTTTTGTGTGTTTTTATTTTCAGGGAAGCTGAAGATTCTCTTTCAATAACAGTTGTTCGCTGCACGTCGGTAAGTCTCTTTCTATGTCCTGTGTGTTAGTTTCCCCCTTCACATCCCCAAAACCCCATCCCCCTGTGAGATATCCCTCAGAGGATAAACAGGGAAGACCGATCACCCATGCACCCATGTTGTGGAGGAAACAGGTGTGGGTCCAGGCTTCACACACTCGACGTCCAGCTGAGGAGACAGGCCTGTGATTACACAGAGTGGAACGAAGGAAAGGGCACCAAGTGAGGGGTCTCAAGACAGACTTGAGTGGAATGACTTCGGGCAAGTCATTTCATTTTAGATGTAGCTTTGGTAAAACAGTGGTGAGGACAGTAACGGCCATGCCAATGGGTTGTTCGGAGGGCCAGACAAGGTGTTGGATGTGAAAGTATTTTATCAGCTCTGAGGTCCATCACAGGCCAAGGTGTGGCGTCAATGATGCCCAGGGAGGAAACAGCCATCCTGAAACTAGCACATCAAGGGGCCCTTCCTGTGTGACACGGGGGAGAGTACATAACAGATTATAAGAGAACACCTCCAAGGAGGAAACATTGAAATAGAATTCTCATTCTGAGAGACTTTGGCCACATAAAGACAAAAAATAAATAGGGGCATAGAGAACTTTAATAATGTACTTAATGATCTAATATAATTGACCACTTACCAGGCTACCAAGAACACTCAACAAATTCCCCAAATAAGGAACTCTATAGTTTCTTTTTCCAGAATACAATAAAATAGAAATGAATAATCGTCAAAAACTAATTCAAACTACCAACCCATTTGGAAATAAAAATGCTATGTCCTACATAAAGATGGAGTCAAATAGAAAGCAAAACTACCATTATATAGGGTGTCCCAAAAAATGTATACACACACACTTTGAATAATTGTAAAGGCAATGTTTATGAAAATACATTTCACTTTCAAAACTGAGCTATCAGCTTTTAAAGTGTGCATGCATTTTTTGGGACAGCCTATAGGCTAGTTAGAAAATAATTAAAAATTAGATTTCTTCTTCTTATAATTTATGTGCAGCTGAAACTATACTCAGAGTTAAATTAATAAATAGCCTTAAATAATTTTATTTAATAAGGATGTAGGTCAAATAAGTATTCAGTGAAAGAAGCTGAGCCCAGACAGAATGGCTCAGTGATTGAGTGTCAACCCATGAACCAGGAGGTCACATGCCCAGGTTGCAGGCTTAATCCTCAGTGTGGGATGTGCAAGAGGTGGCTAATTGATGATTCTCTCTCATGATTAATGTTTCTATCTCTCTCTCCCTATCTTTTCCACTCTGAAATCAATAAAAATATAGGGGGAAAAAGTAGTTGAAAGAAAAGACAAATAAAACAAACATAAAGCAGAATAAAGAAAATTATAAACATTAAAATTTAAATGATGCACTGGAAAACAGAAAAAATGTAAAGTTAATAAATAAATCCAAGGGCTAATTCTTTAAGGGAGACTGTAAGAAAATAGGAAAACTTAAGGGAAAAGAAACATGCCGGTCTTGTCTGAAGAAAACTAAAATATTACTGAAGGATGGTTTAAAAATTATTTTCTATAAAAGGAGATACATACATTGGCTTTTCTCATATTAATGTACTGTATAATGAAAGCTAATCACAATAAATGGCTGTGCAGGTGTTAAGAGGTTCTTTTTATTTAGCTGATTATCATCTCAATGGAGAGTATCTTAATCTTAATTAGGTGGTTATTTTTCTTCTCTATTTCCAAGAAATGAAAGTAAAAAATAACTCTTGTTAAGTAAGGAGAGAGGGAAACGGCATATAGTTACATCCTTTAAAAAATAAAAAATACAGGGAGAGGAAAACATATTCCACCACCACTCCTGAGACTCCTACAGGGGTCCCAGAAGAGGGGAGTGTGACTGCTGTGCTCAGCAGGTCCTGCAAGGAACCCTGAAATTACCTTTGCTGGCACCCCGCGGTGCCTCCCAGAAATGCTCTGAACATTGTCTAGCCCCCTCCTCTCAGCAGAACTTTTTCAATCATAAGACAAATGATCATATGTCTTGCTTTAGCAAGGAACGCTCATCTTTGGCAGAGTAGATTCTTAGGGCCCTCAAATAACTTTAAATTGATTAGGAATGGTAAGATCGGAAGTTGATATGCCAGTTACTGCTTCTTTAGTGCATAGAATGTTATGGGGGGAAATGTTTTGGTTCAATCGTGTAGATCTGCATTTATATGAGTTATTTATATATTGTACAATAATAATATTAACACTAATATTTAATGTCTGATTTATTTTTTACCAAAAGAAAATCCTACAAGGCAGAAAAATTTGTAAGGCCCACCCCCTTTTACAAATGAGAACATTGGGGCTTCACACGCCCACGGACTCATGTGAAGAAATCAATGGAGCTAGGTTATTCTCCAGGTAGTTAGACCAGAACCCACAGTCATTAGCACTATGCGCTTCTACCTCCTAAAACCATGCCGTTGTCATAAAATGACATTGGCAAACCCAGGGCAGGGTGGCGGGTGGAATTGCATAAAGATAAAGACATATTTTCCAACTTGTCCCTCCAGTTCCCTTTTAAGCATTAACTCTTAGTTCTCCAAAAACATGCACATAGAGTTTTCATCAGCTTAGGTCTGCTTCTCTCTGATGGATTAATTTAGAGCCCAGGGAGAACTTAGAGTAATGGGTCTTAGCCTTTAAATGGTCTCTTTTTTAATAGCAGACGGCTCAAGTGGGTGGCTTGAGATGCCGAGGTAACAGGTAGCCGAGTTGACACTGAGGTGTGAGTTGGGCTTTCATGACAGGGAGCATGTTTTTTCAAAGCAGCTAGTTTCATGGTTGGATGATCCCTCATGGAAGAGAAGCCCTTCTTCCCTATGTCTCCCACCACCTAGTCCTGGCTCAGAGCAAGTTAGCCTTGTATGACATAGCTCTTCAAAGGTTTGGAAGCGTGGCTATCTCTTCCCCAATAATTTCTTCATTATATGGTATGTTTCTCTGAGTTCTCACTTCTCTGATAACTTTCTGGACAAATTCCAGTTTTGTGGTGACCCTCCCAAAGGATGGCACCCAGAAAGGAATGGCACCGTCTACGGTCAACCTTTATGAGTACCGCAGAGAACAGGGGGTGAAGTTCCAGCATGTACCAAGAATACTGGTGAAGCTCAAGATTGGGTTAACATTTCAGCAGGCCCCATCATGTTCTTGGCTTGAGTGAAACTTGTGGTTGACCAAAAACTGAGTTGCTTTTCCAATGAATAGCTTCTCAGCCGGTCCCCCAGCCCTCATCATATATTCTGCAATTGATATTTTTGGTCCTCAGTGCCACACTTCGCATTGCTTTGGCTTACTGTTCTGGCATGCCGATATTTTACAGTCAGGGAGTTGTGGCTTATTTGTACAGTCATCAGCTAGAATCATTCTCCCTTCCTGTCAAGGGACCTCTTCCCAAGTCTCCTTCCCTTCTTCCATTATCCAGCCGGTGGGTTTTCTTTATCCTGATCCAGCTCTGGCTCTGACTCTTGCAGGATTGCTTTCCTGAGGGTGAGAAAGAATAGCAGTTACCTCCATAGACTCCTTTTCTTTCTGCATCTCTCCTGGTTCTGCCCCTGATTTCTCATTCCCTTGAGATTTTAAGGTGATGGTGGTTGATCCCTCGCTTTTCTTTGTTCTCTTCAGCTCTTGACAGCCCTGCCCCCCTCCACCCTCTTATATTTGTTCTTGATGATTGCCTGGCCTTTGACCCATAGCTGCCCCTGGTCCTCAGATTCCGTTAGACCCTTTTTTAGATTCCTAGTTTCTTTACCTTTCCTCCCAATTTTTTTCTGTCTGAGATCTGATGACACCTTGCAGCTCCATGTTATTCACAGGCTTGGGAAGTTCCATTTCTCTGACTTCATCTAAGGCATTGCTCAACATTGACAAAGATTGAGCCAAAGGGAGCCTGAGTTGCTTCATTAGAAATCAGAATAAGTTTGAGGATAAGTCAGCTAGCTTTGAATCCACCTAATGGCTCTGCATCTGGCCTTCTCCACAGGGGGATTATAGGAGAACTTATCAAATATTTTGCAAGAATGGAGGAATACTGCTGTGTCCACAGGACCCTGGCCTACTAATCTGGAATCCTATCCTCGAAATATGACCTTGATTAGCTCTGACTTGTTTTTGGTAACTCCATGTTGGTTTTTAACGATCAATGTCTGAAAGCTCTCTGACCATCTCTTGTCTTGGATTTTGCCAAGAATTAACAAGCTTACTAATATGTTTTTCTTGAATCTTTCATATTCATTTTCTGGGAAATTTGATACTTAACCATTTTTAGTTTCTTAATATTTCTTCCATTTCTGTTCTGTGGATGATGCTGATCGATGCATTTAATAGGTCCATCAGCCCCCTATAGTCACTGGGATAGGAGTCTTGAATATATTCAAAGCAGTGTGGTAGTCTCATTGCTAATTTTGGGTTGTAATTTTCTCTTTCCTTTATCCCTTCTATCTCTTCTGATTTGAAAATCATTCTGTTTGAAAAACAAAGCAAATAGAGGTTAAGTAATTTCTTCAGTTGAGGGTGTACCTCTTCTCTGGAAATATTGCTATTTCCCCCTCAGCATCTATGGAACTTAAAAAAAAAAAAAAACACAACAAACTCTATATTCAAATTACTGAATCATAGTCATGAACTCTGTCACACCAAAGTCCTCGTTGCCATGAGATCTTATTCATCTGCTTGCCTTAATACTTCAGGGCCATGCGCTCACTTCCTGTGTTTTATGGCGTTGGTCTATTGACATCTGAGCCTATGAACCTTGTTTCCAGCAGTTTCCCCGACTGCTGTTCCCTGTCTCTTCCCTCAGCTACACAGAATGTGGCCCAGAGCTCCATCTGGGACTCTGCCATGTGTAAACATTCTAGAGGCTGTCCTAGAGGATTTTCCAGGCGAAGGAAATGGGATTTCAGGCTGGGAAATAGCATATCATGATTTCACCCAAGAAGATCACATCCTATTGGTCTAGATCATGTAAGTTGCTGTTTATCGTAAGTGTTACAATTCAGTCTGATATGGTCTAAGACAAAGGCTTCACCACATACTCTATACCAACCTGTGATGACTTTTTACCTCTGGGGATAATAGATACCAACCAGAAGATGAGAAAAGCAGAGAGGGCCAAGGGTAAATCACAGGGGTGAGAGCTTCAGGGAACCCTGGAGGTGGTCTGTCTGGTCCAACTCCCCACATTGTGCTGGAGGGGAGACTGGAGGCCAAAGACGGTCAACACAGAGTTATTTTGTCTTGTTTTACACACACACACACACACACACACACACACACACAGTCACACTCACACCAAACTGGTTTTCTTCCATAAGAATTTGTGTTTGAGCCAAAACCGGTTTAGCTCAGGGGATAGAGCATTGGCCTGTGAACTGAAAGGTTCCAGTTCGATTCCGGTCTAGGGCATGTACCTTGGTTGGTTGTGGGCACATCCCCAGTGGGGGGTGTGCAGGAGGCAGCTGATCGGTGTTTCTAACTCTATCTCTCTCCCTTCCTCTCTGCAAAAAATCAATAAAAAAATATATATATATATTTTTAAAGAATTTGTATTAGAGATAGTTCTCACCACTGCTGAGTAGCAGAGCTTGAATTGCGATTGAGGTCCCCTTATTCACAGGCCAGTTCTCTTGGTCTTCATCAGACCACAGTCGTTTCTGTATTGAATAGTTGACCATTCTCAGACACATAAGAACATTGTGTGTATTGGGGTCCCTAGATTTTATGAAAGGAAAACTCTGATGGAATGCCATCCTCCTCTCCGGGGGTTCATTGAATCCTCAGCAGTTGTCAGGGTTTTTGTTTTTAAGAACGAGAAGATGTGCGTGGCTGTTATGAAAGTCCTGCTCTAAGATGTGTCATGCTCCTGTTTTGCAGGGAGTCCCCAAGTCCTCCTTCCTGACGGAGGAGAAGAGAGCCCGGCTGAAGACCAACCCGGTGAAGGTGCACTTTGCTGAGGAAGTGCTGGTCAGCGCACAGAGCCAGGTGCGTCGGGGGAGGGCATGGGGGTGCTCTGCGTGGGCTGTGAGCTGCCCGCTGGCACCCAGCGGCCTAAGACTCCGGAGCCCCACAGCCTGGAGAGGATGCAGAGGAAGCCTTCAAGAATGGCGGTTCCTTAGGTGACCCTGAAAGTATGGGGTGATGGTTGAGATGAATGATGGAGGCAGAGAACAACCCTCTGCCCTTTGGTGATGCTTCCCTACAGGGAATACTGTAGTGAAACGGGGGTGCGGGGGGGAGTGGGTGGAGAGGGAAGTGGTGTCTCAAGGGTTTCACTCCAGCCTCACCAGACACAGTTTGGGACAGTGCTTGTCATCTGACTTCTTAAACAGCATCCCCTAAGGATGGCAGCCCGCAGTGAGGGGTCAGCTGATGCTCTGGCGCAATGCTATCCGTCCGTCTCTTGTGTCTCACGGCCCTCGTGGCTCCCTCCTGAACACACCGCGCCCGTCTCTGCGGCACGGGCCTCGCCCATTGGAGGAATCCCAGATGCAGGAATCACGCCGCAGCATGAGGAGGGGGGGAGAGAGGACCCTGTCCTCCGCACCAGGCAGGGCCGGAGGCAGGAAGGGCTGGTTTCATCCCTCCCATGTGTTTCCCAGGGAAACTCTCTGCTGTGCATGCCCAACGTGCTCAAGCTGTACCTGGAGAACGGACAGACCAAAGCTTTCAAGTTCGAAGCGGACACCACTGTGAAGGTATTAAGGGTAAACTTGAATCTCTTGCCCAGCAAGACTTTGCTGGCTCCTAGACCCCCCCCCCCCCCCCCCCCCCCGCATCTTGCCCTGTGGCTGCCTTGGTGGCCTCACCACCACCAGAGTCTGAGCACCTGCAGGACGCCAAGCACCGTGTTATCTGGTTCAGCTGTGCAGCCACCCAGCCGGATCTCAGCACCACCTTTCAGGGGCGGAAATCGGGGCTCAGAGAGGTGAAGGGACTTGGTTTCACCCTTAACCACTTCCCTGCCTGTTGTATGTGACTCTCCCACTTGCCACCCAAAAGACAAAGCAGCTAAAAACCCAGATGAGCCGAAACCGGTTTGACTCAGTGGATAGAGCGTTGGCCTGCAGACTGAAAGGTCCCAGGTTCGATTCTGGTCAAGGGCATGTACATTGGTTTCGGGCACGTCCCCAGTAGGGGGTGTGCAGAGGTAGCTGGTCAATGTTTCTCATTGATGTTTCTAGCTCTATATTCCTCTTCCTTCCTCTTTGTAAAAAAATCAATAATATATATAATACCCAGATGTCAGGGCAGGCCCAGGCTTCTGCCCATCCTGTTCTGAGTTGAAGTCACTTTCACTTACATTTAACAAGTTCCCCTACCAGATGCCCTGGGCAGAGGGTGGGGTAGAGGATGAGGTAAAGGGTGGGCACCATGTTCCAGGAGCTTACAGCCTACCTGAGGGAGCAAGGACATTCAAGGAGCTCCCAGTGGCCGAGGGCAGGATGAAACAAGGGCTGTAAAGCGAGGGACAAGGAAGTGCTCTGGGCAGGGGTAAACGTGCCACCAATCCCATCCAGTCAGGACCTCAGAAAAGGCTTGGGAAAGAAGCTGGACCTGAGCTGAGCTTTGAAGGACAACTAAGCATTCAGCAAGGCCAGTGGGAATGGGACTGCGGGGGGCTGGGGTGGAGGGTGCACATCCGCCTCAGGGAGTCACACGAACGGATGCACAGAGCCGGTCAGACCAGCACTGCCCTGTGTGGGGTATTGTGTTCTCAGCGAGTTCAGGGGATGAGAGGCAATAAGCAAGAAACCAAATCTAGTGTGTGTTCAACACGTGTCATCTGCCGGGTACTGTTCTACGTGCCCTCTATGGGAAATTAATTTAATGCAAACATCAGCCCTGTGAGATAAATGTTAACATGGTTATCATTTTAGAGACAAAACAAAGAGAGAGAGAAAAAAAGAATGAGGCATGAAGAGAGTAAACATTTATCCCGGGACACACTCTAGTTGTAGAAACCATTCACTTAATTTTAATATGCTGTCTCTCACTAAAGAACAGAGCGTAGGTTGAAGGACATAATATTACATAGCGATGAGGGGGAATGAGCAGGACCCTAGGACAGAAGGTGGCAGGGCAGTCAGGTTTAGATACGGCGACCAGAGAGACCTCTATGAGGAGAGAGACAGCCCCGGGAGAGAAACGGGAGAGGGTGGCGGGCACTGGGGACAGCGTGTGTGGATGCCTCCAGGCAGCAGAGACGGGGTGGTGGCCAGGGGCCGCTGTGGCTTAGCCACTCCAGCCGCCACAATATGAATTGTCCCATCCTGTCGGCGACTCTACACAGGCACCACTGTCCTCCCGTTCTCCGGGAGAAAGCAGGTTCTGTTCTGAAGCGTCTGGTTATTTCTCACAGCTGCAGGGCGGGCGGGTGCTGGGTTCTGTCTGGGCGGCCCTCGGAGGGGGTGCAGGGCCGGGAGGGGCATGAGAAGTCTCACGTGTGGCCTGTCAGCATTCGGCTGCCTGCATTGGCTGCGGACCCAGGGATCCCTCTCTCCCCGGCTGCACCAAGGAGCAGAGAGAAGGCCAGGGAAGTCTCCCCTGTCCTGTGCCTGCGCTGAGGTGACCCCCATGCCTCTCTGTGTGGCAGGACATCATCCTCACGGTGAAGGAGAAGCTGTCAATCCGGTGCACGGAGTACTTCGCGCTGGTCCTGGAGGAGCAGTACAACGTCTCCCGGCTGCACCTGCTGCATGAGGAGGAGCTCATCCAGCAGGTACGCCTGCCCCTGCCCCGGCCCCTGCCCCTGCCCCTGCCCCGGCCCTGCCCCTGGCCCTGGCCCTGCCCCTGGCCCTGCCCCAGCCCCTGCCCCTGCCCCTGCCCCGGCCCCTGCCCCTGGCCCTGCTCCTTCCCCTGCCCCTGCCCCTGGCCCTGCCCCTGCCCCTGCCTCTGCTCCTGCCCCTGCTCCTTCCCCTCTGCTCCTGGTGAGGAGATCTGGCCTGGGCAGCTGCACGCCTCAGCCAGGACCTTGGGGCACAGGGCTCAGCACATGAGCAGGTTTGATGCCCTTGCTTGTGCCATGAGGGCACAGGGTCACTCCACCTGGAGGTAACAGGACTAGAGCCAGGCCCGATTTTCGCTTGAGGCCCCGTTTTGCAGATGTGGAAACAGGCTTAGAGAGGCAAGGTGACTTACTCAAGGTAACAGCCAATAGAGCCCCATCTTTTGCTTCGGCTCTGATGATCTTCCCCTGAGCCTGCGGCCTCTGGGATGTGAGGGGAGCATTTGTTGCTGTGTCTGAGCCCTTTCTGTGAGACCCACCCCCGTGCTGGTCCCTGAGGGCCGGACTGAACAGAAATCCCTCCGCACCATCCTGTGTTTGCTGCACCAACTTTTTAGAGCCAACACAGTCAGTTCAACAAATCCTTGTTGAGTGTGTGCTCTTACAAAGATGAGTAGGATTTCCACAGTTGGAAAAGGAGGGGCTTTTTAAGCAGGACAATGGCACGAGCAAGGCAGGGCCTCGTGGAAGCCACTCTCAGCGTTCCTCATTGCAGGTGGCGTCTGACTCTGCTCACCCTCCTCCCATTACTGGTGCTCGCACACGCTTTTTTTTTCTCTTTTTTTTCTTTTTTTTTTAAATAAATTTTTATTGTTCATATTATTACAAATGTTCCTCCCCCCCCTCCCCTCCATTGCTCTCCTCCACCAGGTTCCCACCCCACCCTCTTCCCTTTCCCCACTCCCCATTGTCCTCATCCATAGGTGCACAGTTTATGTTCAGTCTCTTCCCACACCCCCCTCTCCCCTTTTCCCCAAGAATCGTCAGTTCACTCCCCTTCCATACCTCTGATTCTATTATGTTCAACAGTTAATATTGTTCATCAGATTTTTTTTTTTAATTTCCTTGGTTTTTAGAATCACTTGTTGATAGTTACGTATTTGTTGTTCATAATTTTTATCTTTATTTACTTTCTCTTCTGAAAGAACCCCCTTCAGCAATTCATATAATTCTGGTTTGGTGGTGATGAGCTCCTTTAGCTTTTTTTTTTATTAGTGAAGCTCTTTATCTGACCTTTGAATCTGAGTGATAGCTTTGCTGCTGTAGGTTCTTACTATTCATCACCTTGAATATTTCTTGCCATTCCCGTCTGGCCTGCATGGTTTCTGTTGAGAAATCAGCTGACAATTGTATAGGTGCTCCTTTATAGGTAACTACCTGCTTTGCTCTTGCTGCTTTTAATATTCTCTCTTTGTCTTTTGCTCTTGGAATTTTAATTATGATTTGTCTTGGTGTGGTCCTCTTTGGATTCCTTTTGTTTGGAGTTCTGTGCGCTTCCTGGACTTGTAAGTCTAATTCTTTCACCAGGTGGGGGAAGTTTTCTGTCACTATTTCTTTCAGTATGTTTTCGATATCTTGCTCTCTCTCATCTTCTGGGACCCCCATAATTCTGATGTTGGTTCGCTTGAAATTGTCTCAGAGGTTTCTTACATTATCTTCAATTTTCTGGATTCTCTTGCCTTCTAGTTTCTGCGGAGGAGTGTCTTCTGGCTCTTTATGTTCCAACTCTTTGACTTGATTCTTGCGATCTTCCATTCTGTTTTTAGGACTCTGTATAATATTTTTTATTTCAGACAGTGTATTCTTTATTTCTTGTTGATCCCTTATCATTTCTTGTTGATTCCTTATTAATTCTAGTTGATCCCTTTTCATATCCTCATAGGTCTTATCCATCTTTTCTAGGAAATTCTTGAAAAACCTTATAAGCGTAGATTTGAACTCTATATCCAGTCGCTTTTTGTCCTCCATTTCTTTCATTTGTGATCTATTTCGTCTCAGCATTTTCGAAGCTTCCCTGAGTTGGTAGTCTTAAAAGTCTCTGTGTTCTGCTTGGATGGGGCGGGATTTCAGGGTGGAGCCTACAGCTTTGGCTCCCGTCAGCCCCACCCTATGCAGGTCCTTCAGAGAAAGGTCGCACACGCTTTTAAAAAAGTCATTTCTGTTCTATTAGCATTGGAAGAGAGAAACACATTAAATCCCTAAGATAGTTTAAGTGGGGGGAAAAGGTACAGAATTTATATAATGTAGACTATTCTATTATTTGTAGGAAAGAAAGCATGAATAGGAACATGTATACTATACACTGACTGGCCAGATAATTATGATCTCTGAACGCATAATCATCTGGCCATTCAGTGTATATGTATTTTAGAGGCCCTGTGCATGAATTTTTGCATGGTGGGGTCTGTCCTGCCTGCCGGTCAAACTCCTGGTCGAGGTTAACGGAGTCAGTGGGAAACTTGACTCTTTTGAGCCTTTTACATTTTATACCCCTGGGAAAGCCAGATTAGGAGCAAAGGCCTGCACTGCCTTGGGAAACACTAAATTGAAATCTCTGGGAACTGTCTTTCATTATCTTTTTTTTCTTCTTCTTTTTTTTAGTTTTTTTTTTTTTGTGTGTGTGTGTGTGTGTGTGTGTGTGTGTGGAATAACTGCAAGAACAAAGGCAGCTAAGATTAATGGTATCTCCCTTCCCCATCGCAGGTGGTAGAAAAGGAAGAGTTACAAGACTACCGCTGCCTCTTCAGGGTGTGTTTTGTTCCCAAGGACCCCCTGGACCTCCTGAAAGAAGACCCCGTGGCCTTTGAATACCTCTACCTGCAGGTGACTGACTGGGTCTGCGCTTCCTATAGCAACAGTGGTCCTTCTCAAGGATGGAATTGGGTGTTGTTTTTAATTAAATGTTTATTGTCGACACTGTTGCAGGTGTCCCCTATTTCCCTCGCCCTCCTGTGCCCGCCTCCACACGTCCCCACCCCCATCCCCAGGCCTTCACCACACTGTAGTTTGTGTCCATGGGCTATGCATATATGTTCACTAGCTAATCCCTTCACCTTCCTTTAACCAGTCCCCTCAACCTCCCTTCCCCTCTGACCTCTGTCTGTCTGTTCAGTGTATCCCATGCCTCTGCTTCTATTTTGTTCATCACTTTATTTTGTTCATTAGATTCCAAATCCTAGTGAGGTCATATGGTATTTGTCTTTCTCTGCCTGGCTTATTTTGCTTAGATGGGCCTAGAGATTAAGTTATTTTGAACATGAGCTCGAGGCAATTAAGCAATTCCCTGGTGTAGATCATCTTTATCTGAAGGAGAATGGGCCTGAGTATCCCTTACAGTTCCTTTTTCCATCGCTGAGTGTGATCTTAGGAGATTAGGGATGTATTAATGAAATTTGGGCTGTCCTCAATGTAGATGCTACATTTCCTAATGCCATTTAAGATCCTTAGAGTTACGGTTTTTATTGCTAAAAGAGGCTTTAGTGCTTCAACGCTTTCTTTTACAAATGATGAAACTGAGTCTTGGTAAGGTCACATACTTTGCGTGGGTCACCCATTTAGTGGTGACGCCAAAAATAGCTGCCTTGGTCCCTGTAGCCTTTTACTCCCCTTACTCTACCCTCATAGGTAAAATTTACTATGTCATTTTTATTCTGATGAAAAAGAATCATTTGGGAGGCATCAATATTTGAGATAACTCAAACTAGGTGGATTGATTTGTGCAAAGTCTTACAGAAACGATGGTAGCAACTAATAATAATACTGCCCTAACCGGTTTGGCTCAGTGGATAGAGAGCATTGGCCTGCAGATCAAAGGTCCCAGGTTTGATTCCAGTCAAGGGCATGTACCTTAGTTGTCAGCACATTCCCAGTGGGGGATGTGCAGGAGGCAGCTGATTGATGTTTTTTACTCTCTATCCCTCTCTCTTCCTCTCTGTAAAAAAATCAATAAAACATTTTTTTAAACTCAATACTTTATTTTTATTTTTAAAAATATATTTTATTGATTTTTTTTACAAAGAGGAAGAGAGAGGGATAGAGAATTAGAAATATCGATGAGAGAGAATCATCAATCAGCTGCCTCCTGCTGGGGATGTGCCCGCAACCAAGATACATGTCCTTAACCGGAATCGAACCCGGGATCTTTCAATCCACAGGCTGACACTCTATCCATGGAGCCAAACCGGTTTCGGCCCAATACTTTATTTTTGCATAATGCTGTGCCCCTCATCCCTGCTTTCAGATGCATTATCTAACTTAAACCCCACAGAAACCACGTAAGGTAGACTTCACTATCCCCATTTAGCAACGGGGAGAATAGCAATGCTCCGAGAGTCTTAATTACTTAACCAAGGTCACACAGCCATGCACAGGCAGATTTAGGTCTCAAAGCTGAGCTCCTGGTCCCGCTGCCTTTTGCTTGAGAGAACGAGGAGCACGATTCCCCTGCTCCCGGTTCCCACTTCCCCTGATCCATCTCTTCCAGAGCTGCAGCGACGTGCTGCAGGAGCGCTTTGCCGTGGAAATGAAGTGCAGCTCTGCACTCAGACTGGCGGCCCTGCACATCCAGGAGCGGATCTACGCGTGTGCCCAGCCGCAGAAGATCTCTCTGAAGTACATAGAGTGAGTGGCGGGGCATGTTGGAGACCCAGCAGCAGCAGCTGTGCTGGGTGGACAATCTGGCTGGCGCCTGGCCAGAATGGCCAGATTCCATAGAAAGCTGATAGTCTCCTACCTAGCCTTCTGTCCCTTGTCTTTCTATCCAATTTCCTCTCCACCCTCTCCCACCCAGCCGGGCTCCCCCACATGTCAGAATCTGGCTGCTCCCTCTGGGGCCGAAGCCAAGTCCAGATAGAGCGACACAGGATCCCTTAGTGAGTTCCCGGGAGAACACAAAGGGAAGTCTTTTGATAACTTCAATGAAAAGCTCTGATAAGGGCAGGAATGCCTTGAAAATTAATGTGTGAACCAATCACGTTGCTTATATTCCGACTAAGGAAGTTTCAGATCCTGGGATCCCAACACCACCTAATCCTTCGCTTCACATTTGCTCTTGGCGGTATCACCCAGGTTTGCTAACCCCCTCACCAAACCTCAGCTCTGCTGTTCTATCTGGCATCAAAGTCAAATGAGAGTCACATTTAAAAATTAAAACAGATCCAGGGCTCTGTCCCTGATGTTCTGTGTCAAATCTCTAGAGCAGCGTTTTTCAACCGCTGTTCCGCAGCGAGATGTTGCCTGGTGTGCCGTAGGTGCAGACAAGACAAGAATTTTATAATTTTTCACTATTTTGTTTACTTAATATTTCATAATAAAGTAATTATAAAATACTTTCTTTGTGTTTGATTCCTATTCAAGAGAATTACTTTATATATAGTCAATATAGGCACAGAGTTAAATTTTTTAACATTTTCTAATGGTGGTGTGCCTCGTGATTTTTTTCATGAAACAAGTGTGCCTTTGCCCAAAAAAGGTTGAAAAACACTGCTCTAGAGAGCGGGACCTGAGAATCTGTATCTTTAACTAGTTTGTTGGAGCTTTTGAGGCTGTTAGGCTAGCACCATTCTGAAGCACAACCTTGGGGACTCTCAGGGGCTATGTGCTGCCCCTGAGAGTGTGTGATACATGCTTGGTCATTATCTGTCACGTACGTTGTAGTGAAAAAGGATCAAGGTCTCCTGCTCTAACTAACAGAATATCACACTGCACCAAGTGCAGTGAGCTCCCAGAGAGATCAGTGGGGTTTTCCCCAATGGCTGTGGCTTTTGTGTATGTGTTGGGTAAGAAATATATATGTATAAACATATTTATAAACATATATTGTGTACTTACATAAAATATCCTATATAATAAGAGCCTAATATGTAAATCAGCCAAACTGTGGAATGACTGATAGAGCGACCGGTTGCTATGATGCTCACTGACCACCAGGGGGCAAGCGCTCAATGCAGGCCCCAGGCCAGCCAAGGCAGGTGCCAGTAGGGCCCTGATTGATGTGACCAACCAGCCAAGAAGCAGGGCCAGTGAGGGGGCAGTGCCAGGCCGGCCAAGGTGGATGCCAGTGGGGGTCCCCCAATCACCCCACCAGTCATCCCACAGATCGACCCTGATTACCAGTCAGGCCTAGGGACCCTAGCCGTGTGCGAATTTTGTGTACCAGGCCTCTAGTAAGTATATATTAATATATAACTTATAGTAACACGTAAGATATTTCTATATATTTTATCTACTTATACACACATAAATGTACATGTGAATGTATCTTCTGTTGAGGAAGAGGCTCGGTTGCAGTGTTCTGAGAACACTAAGTGCTGAACCCAATGTAATTATGCCGTTCGTCAGAGCCACCAAGTTCACTGTAAACACCGGCCTCCTCGTCTCCAATGTCTCCTGGCAGGAAAGACTGGGGGATAGAGAACTTCATCTCGCCAACGCTACTCCGAAACATGAAAGGCAAAGACATCAAGAAAGCCATCAGCTTCCACATGAAGAGGAACCAGAACTTGCTGGAACCCCGACAGAAGGTAACGGGGCCCTAGCCCTGGCTGACCCACCCAGCGGTCTGGGGACTACATCTTCAACATGGCCTTTATTTGAGCAAGTGAATAACTTACGTCTTTTTTTTTTCTTTTCTTCTTCTTCTATTTAAGCAACTTATTTCTGCTGCCCAGCTACGTTTAAATTATCTACAGATCCTTGGGGAACTCAAGACATATGGCGGGAAAATCTTTAATGTTACTTTAATGGTACGTGTTTGAGAACTGTGGGATCCCACGCTTATGAGGGACCTTAGAAGTCCTCTGAAGATCAGTGACTCTTGTGGCCTAAATTTTTTGAGAACTCTGTCATGTGTAGAATTTGTTTGGGAAACTAAAAATCATGCCATTGGGAGTGTTCGTTGGTGCTAGCCCTCTGGTAGGTGCTGGGGGAGGCAGAGCTGACGTGATTTCTACCTTCCAATGATCAAACAAAGGAGCCACAAGACAAAGCAGAGCCACAAGAGACATACGGGCGATTGCTGTGGGGTGTGAAGACAGAGGGTACCACTGCCAGCTTCAGGTCCAGAATGGAAGGGAAGGGGGTAAGGAAAGTCAGGAAGATTGGATTTGGCCAGATTTCCGTGTAGAGGAAAGGCCTTCTGAGGGAAGGGTACTGTAAGCTGTTGACTCTGGAGCTTTGGGAATAGGAAGGTGGAGAGGGAAACGTGGAAATCATACAGGAAAGATAAGAATGTGAGACTGACTGCCAGGCTGCGGCCCCGATTATTCAGAAAAAGGGAAGAACTGAGGAGGGAAAAGAGAAGCAAAGGAGCCGTCTGCTCTGTTTCCCGGCCCTCCCCTTGCTTCCTTCTTGGAGCCGAGGCCCAGAGCTGTGTGCTGATCAGCCATCAGGAATGGGGGCTGAGGCTTAAGGGAACTCTCCCCACCACTCAGTCAGAACTCTCCAGCACAAAGCCAGACAACTTGCCAATTACAGATTGGCAAAAAACATTAACAAATCTTCTTTCAGTTGATTTAGGTATGTCTCTCAGTCATTTGCAGTGACGGGTCAATTTAATCAGATTGCTGGCTTAACAATATAGATAGAAAAAGAGAATCCCTGTTTTGAGAACAAGATAGAGCAATCAGATCAAGCATGTCAAACTCGCGGCCTGCAGCCACATGCCTCATTTATTTGGCTTATGTTGGCCTTTGAGTTTGACATGCTTGAACCAGATAGTTAGATGGCATCTTGTATATGAGTAGATGGCCCAAAGGTGGAAGAGAGACCAGAGCACAGACAGGAAGGCTTGAAGGTACAAGGAGAGCTTCCCACTTTTCCCAAGGGCCATCCTTCCCCTCTCCCAGCTGTCCCCAGCCTCCCCTTTATCTTTCCTGTCTAAGGAAATAATTGGTGATGGGAAAAGAAAGCAGGCTGAGCTGGCTCAGGGTGCTTGCTGGCCACTGGGGTTACACTGTAGATAAACACTGTCTGTCGTCAGGGAACTTGGCAGGGAATCTGAGACTCGAGTACAAATGATTACAATAAGAAGTCACAGCTCCGTGTTATGGGAGATGCAGACAGGAAGTGTGGGAACAGCACAGAGGAAAAGGTCTGTTCTGGTTTGAGGAGACAGAGATTGGGCAGATGGTTTCTGTAGATGCTTGCAGTAGGTTTCGATGGAAACTTTTTCAAGAAAGGTCGGGATTTCTGTTGGTAATGACGGCAGGGAAGGGATTCCAAGAGGAAAGAAATAGGCACATAGGTACGAAGAGACAGGTTGCGTCTACCGAACAGGTAATAGCCTTGTTTGGCTCTCTGTTGTGAAGGGTCTTGAAGAGATAACTTATACTTTAAATTAAGTATAAGTCACAGGGGCCCAGTTTAGGCTGTTGCCTCCCTTGGTAGCTTAGGGAGTGGTGTTGAGGACCTGAAGTAAGAATCTGGAGTTTGCAGAGAGAGGTGTCATGTCTTGCGTGTGCCGTGTATTTTCCTAGCTGCGAACGGGAACTGATTCCTCCTCTGCCCCTTCTGCAGTTACAGGATAGAGAATCCTATGTTGCCCTTCTCGTTGGAGCCAAGTATGGGATTAGCCAAATTATCAATAGCAAACTCAACATCATGTCCACGTTGGCAGAGTTTGCAAACATCAGCCGCGTCGAGCTGACGGAAGAGTCGGAGAAAGTGGGCATGGTCAAAGTGTACCTGCAGGACATCAAGGTAACCCACAGGGGAGAGGTTCCGGCCCCAGCTTCTGGAATTTGGGGCTAACTTACTTTAAGGTCATTTATATGCGTGTGGGGATGTACAGAGTCTAATGGCCAACATTTGTTGTCCCATCAAAGGGAAAGTGGTAAACCAGGGTGCATTTCCCCGGGCGGGACCTGAAAGGTTTCTTCATATAAACTGAGCCTGACCTTGTGCTTCCCTGATGGGTTCAGAAACTTAGATGGGAACACCAGATGGGACCAGAAGGGCTGTCTGCGAGCTGTGAGTGGCAGCCATGGGAATGGGTGAAGGATCTAGGGAACTTCCTGAGCCTCCCTGGGAGGACCTGCCTTTCTTGGCTTTCGTATCAACAGGATCAGAGATGGCGCTCTCTCCTTCCACCCTCTCTCTCTCTCTCTCCTGTGTGCTTTTGCGTCTTCTCCTTGTCTAGGCCAGGTCTTGGAGGGGCCCCCTTATGGGAATGAGCAGAGTGGGGTGGGTGGTTTGGATGGGAGGCGAGGACAGGGGTCAGAGACGGAGAGGCAGGAGGCACTGTGGAGTTTCGATGGGAGGAACTCACACATGCACTTGCTCACTTCAAGTCTTGAAGGTGAGACTACAGGACAGGAAGCCTGGGGACCAGGGCTGCGGTGACTTGGAATTTCCCATCAGCCCCAGGTGGCCTTGTTGTCCGGCTGCAGACTGTCCCTTTGCCCTTCACAGGCTTAAGAGCTCTCTTTGTCTCCAAAGGTTCTGACTTTGTTGCTGGAATCCAACAGTGCCAAGGACCTGGCCTGCCTGGTCGCCGGGTACTACAGGCTGTTTGTCGACCCGGTTACCTCCATCTTCCTCTGGCCGGGGAACAAGCAGCAGGTGCACCGAGTGTCTGCGGAGGAAGGTAAGGCACTGAGGTTTGCCCCGGGGAGGACGGGCCTGTGTCACTGCCCTGGGCGTACAGGCGGCCTAAAGGGAGGTGGAGAGAGAAGTTGAGCTGAGACTTCCACTAAGTCGATGGGAGCCACTTCTCCGTGTATCTCTTTGTAAACAGTTGGTCTTTCCAAAGTCCTGAACAGAGAAGCTTTCCTTGTACCTGAGAGTCCCTAAAAATATAAAAGGTCTCTGATTCCCTGTAGAATTTCCTAAAACCATCTCTAAGATCCATTGTATCGTGTCTTTATTTGCCACCAAAAGGTGCTGTCCGTTATTTGTTCAGAAAGTACAGGTGGCCAGCCCTGGCCGGGTAGCTCAGTTGATTAGAGCATCATCCTGATACACCAAGGTGGTGAGTTCGATCCCCAGTCAGGGCACATAGAAGAATCAACCAATGAATGCATAATTAAGTGGGAAAAGTCAATATCACGCCCTCTCCCTCTCCCTCTCTCCATTGTCTATTTTCATTGTACAGACACTCCCACCATGGCTGATTTCAAGCTACCAACTCGATGTCACTGAGTGTGGAGATGGGGAGAGATGCCCAAATAGCATGTCACTATGTAGTCTTTCCTCCGTGCGGATAAGATATAATCTCCAGAGCTTAGATAGTAAGATAAAGTAAAATGATCAGGCAGTGATGAGCTTTGGGTATTTGTGAACTTTGTCTTCAATGCCATTTAGAAGCGAGGGTGGATGCCTTAGGGAGGCACGGCAGAGTGGGGCAGTGAAGTCGGGGAGGTCAGATGGCAGGAGGGCATGCTGCTACCAGGGCAGGTGCAGGGTCAGAGAAGGCACTGGGGCGGGGGCAGTATTTGAAATAGATCTCGGAGAACAGGCTAGAGTAGGCCAAACAAAGGAGGAAGGAGAGAAGACACAGAAGGCAAGGTCATGAGCTGTGAGAAGCTGCCTGCAGTGGCTGGAGCATGGGAGGGGGGAGGGGTGGCCAGGCTGCTCAGGAGGGGTCAGGGCTGTCTCCGGAGGCCTTAGCTCTTGTGGGGGAGCTTAGGCCTTTCCCTGTAGGCAGGGGAAGCCGACTGAGGGCTTAATCGAGTGTGGTGTCGATGAAAAGGGAGCTTTTAGAAAGATCCCCCGGCAGGCTTATGGTAGAGGAGCGATTGGAGATCTGGTTCAGCACTCCCCACCCTCACTCCACGGAGCCTTCCGGAGCACCAGCAGCTGGAGGAGTTGTCTCTCTCTGGCAGCCTGTGGCACCAGTGGGTCCCCAAGACCCGGCTTCAGAAGGGTGCCAGCCTAGCAGTCCCAGGAAGGTGCTGGCATACAGATTCCCAGGGCCTGCTCCCTACATGTTTGACCCAGTACATCAGGTCAAGGATCTGTTTCGGGTTTTAAATATGATTCCCATCTGACCTTGATCCCAGACAGGACAGAGCTGGGATGTGGGGAGGGGTTTAGGAAACCTGGGCAATACTGCCCCAGCAAAGTGAAATCCAATCAAAGAAACATCCCCCACCCCGCCCCCCAGTTCCTGGGAACAGATAGCTCTCCTCGGACGTGGGGATGGAGGTGGCCCTGTCTCTTTCAGGGGGTCCAGATAGATGTGGGAAAGGAGGCCTGATGCTGTGTGTCCCGTGGACCCTGTGTCCATCCCTACGGCGTGATCTGGGCCGGTCGCCCTCCTGGACCTCCGCTTTCTAATCAGGAAACCGGGGGGCCAGCAGCATGGGGGTGTGGGGCCACCTGCCAGTGCCCAGAGGCTGCTTTGTGACCCCGCGTGTCCCCTGTGGTGCAGGCTACGAGTCCCGGGCATGCAGCGACTCCGAGGAGTCCTCCGACGTGGACTGCGTGCTGGAGCCCCTCTCGGACCAGCACCCGCCCCGGCCGGGCGCTGGCCGATCTCCCGCCAACGAGGAGCAGCCTCCCATGGCCGGCCCCGCGCCTGAGGTGGCCGGGAGAGGCCCGAGCGCCTGCGGGGCCAGCAGCACGACCGACAGCGCCGAGTCCGAGGCCTCCGACTCGGCCAACACCGAGAGCCGCGGCTGCAGGACCAGCGGCTCCAGCGAGTCCATGGACGCCCTGGAGGAGGATGACCTGGACGCCTGCTCCTCCAGCAGGTCCGGCTTCTTCCACTTGGGCCCGCCGGGCTTCCCGGAGAGAGTCGTGGACTGTGACAGCCAGGAGGAGAGGCGCCGGATCGAGACCAGCGGCTTCCTCTGCCTCCTGGACCTGGCCCAGCGCGCCAGCCCGCAGCCCCAGGAGACGGATCCCGCGGAGAGTCCCGCGCCGGGGACACTGGGCTGGGCGCCCGACCCCGGGCCGGCCAGGCTGGACCCCGGGCTGTACGAGGGCAGCCGCGCCGACTACTACAGCCTGTGCTCCAGCGGCTCCCCGGCCCGGCACCTGAGTGACAGCTCGGACAGCATGGCCTCCCGGCAGGGCGGGGGCCCACAGGGCTGGCCTGGGGCCCAGCCCAGCTCCGCGCCCGAGGCCCCGGGCCCTGCCTGCGAGGAGGGCAGCTCGGACGAGGAGTACTATGACGCCGCCGACAAGCTCACACCCCCCGGCACGCTCTCAGGTGAGCCCTCCCCCGCGGGCCTGCAGACTCTGCAGGCAGGGGCCACGCTTGGGAGGCGGGGGAGAGACACATGAGGAAAGCAAGGTCATGGTCCTCTTTGGAGGAGGCTGCCCGGGAGTCTGTGGACTAAAGGACAAGCATCGTGACTTTGCCCGGCTGGCGTGGCTCGGTGGTAGAGCGTCCACCTATGAACAAGGAGGTCACAGTTCGATTCCCAGTCAGGGCACATGCCTGGTTCCTGGGCTCAGTCACCCGTAGGGGGCGTGCAGGAGGCAGCCGATCAGCGATGCTCCCTCGTCATTGATGTTTCTATCTCTCTCTCCCTCTCCCTTCCTCTCTGAAATCAATAAACATAATATTTTTTTTTTTTAAAAAAAAGGAATCATGACTTCCAGTCAGAGCCACAAGGAAGGCTCAGAGAACTGTGGGCGGGCAGTGATGGACAAGGATGGGAGGCATTCATGCAACAGTGGAAATCAGGGAGGACTTCCCAGAAGAGGGGGGGAAGTGCTGAGACCGGTCAGACAGACAGAAACTACATAGAAAGCAACAGGTTTTGTTTGTTCGTTTGTTTTAAATATATTTCGATTTTTTTTACAGAGAGGAAAGGAAGGGAGAGGGAGAGTTAGAAACATCAATCAGCTGCCTCCTGTACACCCCCCACTGGGAATGTGCCCGCAACCCAGCTACACGCCCTTGACCAGAATCGAACCCGGGACCAGTCCGCAGGCCGATGCTCTATCCACTGAGCCAAACCGGTTTCTTTAAAAGGGCCAGGCTCTTGCCGAAACCGGTTTGGCTCAGTGGATAGAGCATTGGCTTGGGGACTGAAAGGTCCCGGGTTCGATTCCGGTCAAAGGCATGTACCTTGGTTGCGGGCATATCCCCAGTGGGGGATGTGCAAGAGGCAGCTGATCGATGACTCTCTCTCATCGATGTTTCTAACTCTCTATCTCTCTCCCTTCCTCTCTGTACAAAATCAATAAAATATATTTTAAAAAAATAAAATAAAAAATAAAATAAAATAAAATAAAATAAAATAAAATAAAGGGCCAGGCTCTTTCCCACCCCGGGCCTTTGGCCAAAGGGACGCAGCCCGGCCATGGTTTGAACCCAGGCGACCCTGAGTCCTGAGCCCCAGCTCTGAGTGCCTCTTTGCTTTCCTGCTTCTTATGTGCTTTTTCCTTCCTTGCTTCTCAGGGCCCGGGGCCATTTCTGCTGCGGAACCTGGCGCCGCCCGCGCACACAGCGAGGCCAGCTCTGGCAGCCCCGAGGACGAGGAGGACGGCCTGAACACTGGGCCCGGCGGGGGAGAGGCCCGCAGGAGGGGAGGGGCGAAGAAGTACGCCAAGACCCTGCGGAAGAGGAGGTCTTTCCTGCAGACCGACTACACCTGCCAGGTCTCCTTCCCGCTGGCGCCGGCGGCCGCCCTGGAGGACGCGGACGCCGTGTGCTACTACGACAGGGAGCCCTACCTGGCCCTCGGGGCGCCCTCCCCGACCGTGTCTTCGCTGCAGGACGTGCAAGGGGAGCCCGGCCTGCTGGAGACCAAGGCCCTGGGGCCGCTGGGCCCCCTGAGGGAGGCCAGGAGCAAAAACCCGGCCTCCCGGGCCATGGAGATGGAGCCGGAGACCATGGAAACCAAGTCTGTCATCGACTCTCGGGTGTCTTCTATCTCCGCCATCCGCCTCCGGATCGACCCCGGTCCCAGAGAGAACTCTGGGGGTGCCCCTGCGCCTGCCGCCAGTGCCTGTGGCCCAGCAAGCACCCCTAACTGTCCCAGCCCGGGTTCGCCTGGCCCAGATGCTGCTCGGACAGAGTCTTCCCAAACTCTACCTGCGTCTCAAGACTCGGGCGGCAGTGCCCCCGGAGAACTCTCCGCGGAGCGTGCGGGCAGCACCCGCCCCCTGTCCAGCGCGGAGCCAGACTCAGGCGGCGCCTGCCTGGCCAGCAGCCCGGGGCCGCCCCCCGTCTCTCCAGGAGACACACCGGAGCCGGGAGGCGTCCTGTTGGGAACAGGGTTGGGACCTCTGTTTACAAATCCTACGCAAGAGACGGCCCCCCAGGACACCGAGCCTTTGCTGCCTCTGGGAGACGGGCCTGGACGTGGCGAATGTGGAATACATTCGGGAGAGGAGACGGCTTCTTTCCCGGTAAAGGAAGAGCGCCGGGGACCATGGTCGCTGGCACGCAATGGAGACGTTACAGGCAAAAATGGCACCAACGTGGGTCCTGACGGGCCCGGGGAGGACCCGGGGGACCCTGCGGGTGACGGGTCGAGCGCTGTTCTGCAGACGATCCGTGTCAGTGTTCCCGATGGTGGGATAACGGCCCCCCTCCCCTCGGAGACGCCTGTGACCCCAGCACACTCCCCCACCGAACTCCAAGGGCAGAGCAGAGAAGCCCCAGGCCACGCCTGCCAGGCCCCAGAGCAAGAACTATTGGCAGCACTGGATGCAGACCCGGATCTCCTGCCTGGGAACCAGACCCTGCCGTCAGCCTGCCCTCTGGAGGAGGTCACAGCGGAGCCGCTTAACCATGTGATGGGGGAAGACACCGGCCCCGGGGACACCCCTCAGCAGGTCTGTTTTACTCCTGGGCCTTCTCCACTGCACCCACTCCCATGCCCCCGAGGGGAGCCCCATGTAGAAGGTACACACCAGTGTTGGCTGTCAGACAGCGGAGACGAAACCCCGAGCATCTGCCTCCCGGCGGAGAAGGCTTTCCTGTGCTCTCCCCCAGAGAGCCTCCCTAAAGTTCCTGCCGGTCTCAGGACGGCCGCCTGTCTGGGGCTTGCGGGGGTGAATGAGACGGTGGCCCCCGGGATTGGCATGGAGCAGTGCAGCTGCCAGCTCTCCTACGCCACCTGCTTCCGCGGCCTGCAGCCGGAGACGGAGGAGGGAGACAGGGACTCGGAAGCACACCCCGCCGCCCCCCTCACCTCGCCGCCCTCTGCGGGGAGCGGGCTGGCCCTGCCCTGGAGGCCGGCCCGGGCCCACAGCTGCAGCGCGGAGCCCCCGTCCAGGAGCAGCCGCTGCCGCGTCTGGCCGGAGTACTGCTCCAGGGCCCTGACCCGGTTGAAAGCCGCCCCCGCCAGCACTCCCGAGGGCTTCCTCCGCCTCTCCGAGAGCTTGCTGGAATTGCAGGACATTTTAGAAGCTTCCTGGGGGCACGGGGACAAGCACCCCCCAGAGAAGTGCACCTGGCACTTCTCCGAGAGCCGGAGCCACCTCTGCACGGGCTCCCAGAAGCTCCTGTCCAGCTGCCAGCACGTGATCAGGATGGACCAGTCCCCCGAGGAGATGCAGGGCGCCGTGCGCGACACCTTCCCGTACCTGGTCCAGCTGGCCGGCCTGTGCTTCCAGCTCACGGACTGCAGCCGCTGCTCCGCCCAGCACCGGGAGGCCACCGGCAACCTCAGGGACGTGGTGCACACCTACCACCGGTTCGTGGAGGCCGCCCAGCTGGCCTGCGAGAGAGGCTACCACGACCTGAGCGTGAAGCTCTTGGCCCGCCAGTGCACGGCCCTCACCGCCGCCGTGTTCTGTTTGACCCAGAGGTTCCGGGCGTCCACCGCCCTGTGAATCCCCCTGCCCTGCCCTGGATGCTTCCCGGGAAGCCTCTTCCGTGTCCCTCCACCCACCCTCTCAGATGTTTACTATTCAGAGTATTTAAATAAACGGCTGCTTCACCTCGGTCTGAGTCGGGCAGAATGGTCATAAAAAAACGTTCAATCCGATCCATGCAACGTGTGTTTTCTGAATACCTCCTCTGGGCCCGGCCATGTGCGAGGAGCTCAGGATAATTGTAGACAAATAGGACAAGTCCCTCCCTGGTCCGGATGCTCCCAGACCTTGTGGGATACAGATAAGTAGATTACCATCAGTCCAGTGTGTATCCTAAAAGGAGCATATCCTGGGGTGTGGGACCGAGAAGTCACAAACTGTCCCAAGAAGCAGCGATGAGGAAGGAAGCTGAGGGTCACCAGAAAACAGTTTTCTTATACCACGCTCTTTGGCAGTAACTTTCGCAAACAGGAGTGAGTCCATGTGGAATCGGACAGATTCCATCTTCACAAGCACCTGCACCAGGAGAGGAGGCCTGCGGACCTTGGCGGCCTCGCTGTGAGAAGCCTAGATTGCCACTAGGTGGCAGTAAGTCCCTTAGCTGTATCGCTTCGCTCTTCAGGTGTGCTCCGTGCTTGATCCGAAATGGACAGCACCCCTACATCTTGCATCCTATTTTTGTTTTACATAGTTAAACCGCGAACATGGAAGCCCTGAACTAGGTTTGCCTCTTTGAGAATAATATTAGCACAAAATGAATGGATTTAGTACCTTTCTCACCCATCCCAGTTGAGCCAGTCAGTCCCAGTTAATCTTGGTGGGACCTTGGACAAGCCATTTCTCCTCTCATTGCTTTGGTTTTCTCTTCTGTAAAGGGGGGACACTAATAGTGCCTGCTCTGTAGGGCAGACATTAAGTAAATCTAGTAAGTACTCTGGAGGTAATGAACGCCCAGCTTTGTGGCTGCTCCTCCTAGTCTGAAATCCTTTCCTGCGCTTCTTTTCTGACTCCAGGAAAACTGATTTCCACCTACCAGGGGAACCATTTTCCCCTGGCTTCTCAGTCCAGGCCAAACTCACCTTGGTCGGCTAGAGTTCACCCTTTGCCCCTCTGGTGCTCCTGGTCAGTGTGAGCTCAATGCTGCCTCGGTGAGTCCTCTCTCTCCTCTAGGGCTCCCCAATTCCTCTCCTTCACCCAGCAAGAGCAGGAGCATATTTGTAGGTGTTTAGTTGCCCACCCTAGCGCGCCCCAATCAGAAGGAAAGCAATACCTTGGGAGAAAAGGAAATACATCCTTCCCATCCGCTGTTACCAGTTACTTGTTAACTAGTGAACAGTTAACCAGTACTTGTGCCAGGAAAGTCATTTCTTTTGTTAGGAGCCTGTCTCTTTTCACAGAGTACTTGGAATTAAATTTAAACGAGGCTCTCGAAGCACAGATTTGAAGTGATCTCACGGTGATGAAAAACAGGAACCATAGGACACCGAAATAATAAAAAATGATACAATGTTAAGAAGGACCTGAATGCTTTTACCAGCAGGAAGCTGTAAAGAGCCACCTAACTTGTTTCCGTGAACACCGTCTGTATGCTCACAAGTTCAGAGAGGGAGCCCAGGACTTCAGCTCAGTCCGGCCTTGAATCCTGGCAGTGTTATTACTTGTTTGGATCTCAGTTTCCGCACTGACAAAAGGAAATGCTCATCTCCATTTAGTGAGGGTCCACAATGTGCCAGATGCCCTGAAAACACTTCCTTATCCACACAACACCCTAAAGTAGACATCCTATATAATGAAAGCCTAATATGCAAATTGACCAAACTATAGAACAACTGGTCACTATGACGCACACTGACCACCAGGGGGCAGACGCTCAATGCAGGAGCTGCCCCCAGCCCATAGGCCCCTGGCCAGCCAAGGTGGGTGCCAGCGAGGGGGCCCCTGATCACTCCACTGATCACCCCACAGATTGGCCCTAATCACTAGGGACCCTACCCATTCACAAATTGCATGGTCCAGCTTCTAGGTAGAGAAGAGTCATTAGGGTTAGGTTTTAGAAAAAGCCTTTTGAGGGGAGGGAGGGATGTTTAGTCAGCATTTAAAAATTGCTCCAGTCCCAGATAAAGACTGGATTGGAGCATGGCTTGGGATGTGGTGAGAGTTGCTGAGGAAATAAAAGTCCAGAGCAGTAATAGAATCCAACAGGGCTGTGGTTTCTTGGGTGGGAGACATTACCAGCTCATTCATGGTAGGGTCTCTCTGAAAGGGTGAGACCCCTAGGACTGGAGGAGAGTTTTTATCAGGATAAGGGGTGGGCAAGTCACTTCATATCTCCGAACCTCAGTTTCCCCACTGACTCCTTATCTGGTCAGGTCCAGATATTTCTCTTGTGAGCCTAGACAGACAGGCACCGGTGAAGGGGAATGTGTGCTCAGGGAAGGGCTGGGTCAGCTCCTGGGCCTTGCTGGTTGTGGGAAAACTCAGAGAAGGGCAAAGCCCCTAGGCTGTGAGATGAGAGGTGGTTTATGTCTGGTTTCATTTCTCAATGTCCAATCTTTGATAGCATTAAAGCTCCTGATCACCTGCAGCAGCCCTGCCGGTCCTCAAGCTGCTGGGATTATAATCTCACATATCAGTCCGGGAAACAGGCTCAGAGAGAAACAGGCTCAGAGAGGCACAGTAACACTTTTGGCAGGACCGGGCTCCCTAGTGCCTGCTTGAGGCTGGGAAGCCCAAACCTCCGCTCACGCCCCTGAACACCGAGCTGCAAGGCTGAAAACTACAACTCCCAGAATGCCCTTCGAAAGGGGCAGGAACCGGAAGTGGTCTGGAAGGCGGGGCCTGACATGCCCTGCCGCTGCCCGAGGTGATGGATTCAGGTAAGCCCGGCGCTGGTGGCGGGACGGGATAGGGTCTGGGGATCTGGTCCCTGACTGCTGCCGCGTTCGCGGACAGGGAAGACGCCGGGGAAACAGTGTTTAACAGGTGTGTGGCCTGGAGTTCCACGCCTCGGTGCTTTCCCTTCCTGCCTCCCCTCGCACCCGCAGCCTGCGGGCCAGGCGGGCTTCTTTGGGGCCCGGGGTCTAAGTGTTCTGTCGCTGAAGATGCCTGAGGCGTGGAGCAGCTTCCGTGGACTGAAATTTAGATTGAGAAAACGAGAGGAGCGTGCCAACAGAGATTGGTCCTTCACTGAGTGCTCAGGGATATGCTCATCAGGTGGGACTTGAGTTAGAAAACTCAGAGATGAAGGTGGGTGGGTGGGGCAGGCCAGCACTGAGGATACTTCTCTCAAGGAACCTGGTGATTGAAAAAGTGGATTTATTAATTCAGCTAGCTAGTACTTATTGAGCCTCTATTATGTACCAAGCCCCTTTCTAGGCATAGAGGATACAATAGTGAACAAAGCAAACGGAACCCTTGGTTACATGGTAAGAATGGGGAAGTTCCCACAAAAACTAAGTAAAATATATGCCACGTTGGATGGTGGAAATCTGAATGAAGTGAGGAATGTAGTTATATAATTATCTAGAGTAGAGGAAGGATCTTAGAGGTAGAGAGAAGAGCAAGTGCAAAGGCCCTGGAGTGAGAATATCCTTGGTATGTTTAGATCCGGTGGCAGAGGACAGTAGACGGGGGAAGTACACCTTAATGATCAGTACGGACCACTGTAAAGATTTTGGCTGTTTACTGTAAGTGAAATGGAGATCCAGAATGGTTCTGAGCAGAAGAGTGATGATTCTCAATCCTGTAGGAGGCTTTTATTTTGCAAGGCTCCGTATTGAGTGCTGGGGGTGTGCATGTGAATTCTTCATCTGGTCTTCTCTGGAAGTGTTTGTGATCTGGTGGGGAAACAGGCAGACCAGCTGTCATAAAAGGCTGAGTCAGGTCTTTGCAGCCCGGTGAAGACAGGATGAGTATCAACCCCAAATCCTAGGCAAGTGCTATTAAGTCAAGTGCTTAACTATTTGTTAAATGAGTAATTAACTGAGTAACCTCAGTACCCAGAACTGGACTTGTAATGAGGCTCAGAAGACACTTTTTTAAATGAAGAAATGAAATACTATATGTGGGCATAGATAATGTCTCAATGGATTGATAGATCTGTGCTTCAGTGATCACTAGGTGGTAAGCTTCGACTCACTATTCACTGAGCTTCCATTCTGCGCCAAGCCTGTGATAGCTAGTGAGGCTACAGAGATGGAAAGGATGTGGTCCCTGTCCTCAGGAATGCTCAGTCCGCTGTGTTTCAGGCTCTCCTGGTAGCGGTTGGAGTTGCCTTCATTTGATTTTCAAGATCACTGTCGCCCAAGTTCCTGGTCTGGAAAGCATTCCCAGGGACTGTGGGAATTTAGGGAGGTCAGAGATACAGAGAGTGGGCTAGGAAAGAAGGAAATGGAGGCAGTGGTAGTAAAACTCTTGTTTATCCAGCAAGTATTTATTTAAACACCACTGTTCAAAGATCTTTTGAACTTTTCAGTGTTTAGGTAGATGTAGTTACATGGTTCCTTCTGAAAAAGAATTCAGTTTGGTAGGAGAAAGAAGATGAGCATTAACCTTCCAATTTTTAAAACAGCAATGGGAAACTGCAGCCCCTCCCGCTACTTCAAACCCTCTCTCTCTTTTCTCCTCAGACAGACTTCTCCAGTGAGGATATTCACTGCCTCCCAGTCATTCCCCTGAAGGTCCTGACACAGAGGAGGAGCTTAATGAATATTTATTTATTTTAATTTTTTACTAATCCTGTGTGAATCTTTTGTTCTGAGGTGAGTCTCTTTTAAATATATTTTTATTGATTTAGGAGAGGGAGGGAGAGGAAGATTGAGCCCCAAAGAATATTTATTGACTAAATTAATGGACAGACACAGATAAGAATGCAAAATACTGTGGAGTTCAGAGGAGGAAGAGATCACATGGCTGTTAACAAACTAGCATTCATTTAACAAATTGGTTTTCTTCCCCTAATCCAGTATTTCCCAAACTTCTCTCATGATGAGAATCACCTGGTGGAGTTGTTAAACTACAGATTCCTGAATCCCAACTAAGAAGTGCTAAACTAGAATTTTTGGGAACATATAGGTAAAATTGTATACTTAACTAGTGCTCTGTCTTAGAGCACTAGTAGTTTAACAACTCCACCAGGTGGTTCTCATCATGAGAGAAGTTTGGGAAACACTGCCTAATACAATGAGGTTGTTAAGTATTGGGCCAGTTTAGTTTAAAAGTTTTCATTTGTTCTCTTCTGAATGCCTAAGTGAAGAAAAATACAGATGGCATTCATGGTAAGCATACAAAGTTTGTTCAGTCATCTGAAGGGAGCTAGGTATCTTAGGGAGAGAGCGAAAGGAACATCAGTGATGAGAGAGAATCATTGATTGGCTGCCTCCTGCACATCCTCTGCTGGGGATCTAGTCCACAACCCTGGCATGTGCCCTTGACCAGAGTCGAATCCGGGATCCTTCAGTCTGCAGGCTGACACTCTATCCACTGAATCAAACCAGGAAGGCTGGATATCTTCTGTTAAAAAAGACATTTATAACTAACATCGCTATTCCTATGTGAACGACGCAGTGCTTCTGAAATGTTTAAGAATAACTTGGTATTTTCCCAATTTCTCTAGAATATTATGTACACTATTACATTTTTTGTATACCATAAACTCATTGTGACACAGTCAATGGTATATATACATACACTAAACTACGTACTGACTATTAAAGAACAGAGTTTTAAGCAAAAGTAAACTCTAGCTTAGGCAGGAAATTGAACACCAATTTCAAATCATAAAAATCTTTACTGTAAATATGGCTCAAAAAAATTTTGGAGATCAAGATAACAGAAACAAAAAATAAAAGGGGTTAATTTTGTTTTTAAATCTTCACCCAAGGATATTTTTCTTTTGACTTCAGAGGGAGAGGGAGGGAGACAGAGACATATCTACCAGTTGCCTCCCGTACAAGCCCGCAACCTGGGAATATGACAGGAATTGAACCCAAAACCCTTCGGTGCAAAGGACAATGCTCCAATGAGCCACACTGGCCAGGGCAAAGGGTTAATTTCAGTATTTGAATTCTAGTGTTTCATAGGGAATTGATAAAATTCAGAGTTGATTTTCTCAGCTACAAATTGGGAATCAAGAAGTAATGGTGTAAGCATGTGATTTCAGGTTAAGGGGCTAATCACCAGAACTAAAAATGCCTGGTTAACAAGAGTTGCCTCTAGCCAAAACCGGTTCGGCTCAGAGGATAGAGCGTCGGCCTGTGGACTCAAGGGTTCCAGGTTCAATTCCTGTCAAGGGCATGTACCTTGGTTGCGGGGAGGATCATTACTTTTTATCATAAAAATATTTTTACCATGTGGGTCATAATACATAGATTTACTCGTTCAAAGGTAACACTTTTTCTAAGTTGATGGTAGCACACTGGACTCAGGAGCAGCCATGAGCAAGGGTCATACCATTCTTGGTGACAATTGGAGATGAGAGCATTTTTTACTCATCTCAGGGAGAGTGAATACCACTTTGATATTGTGACTTTCATTAGGAGTGCTATTATAATGGTTCTCTATATTTTTCTACCTTAGCACTTCTGAGGGATACTAAACATTCTCACGGTGACTGTGGCTTTCTGCTGCAATGATACTGGACTGAGATGGGATGAATAGGTAATTTGGAAAAACAAATTTTGATAGGTCACCAGCAGCAACCCAGATGGAGTCTTGGTTGGTTTGGAGCCACTCTTTGCCATATTTTTTGACTCCCTCTTCATCCTCCTAGGCTGTACAGGACTTTGCATGTAGTAAGTACTCAGTGAACATTTGCTTTGCATCCTAAAGGAGTGGTTTTGAAAATAAACTGAAACAGAAAGGAGGTCGCTTTTGCCATCTCTGACCCTCCCTCAACGTATGAGTGGATTTCAAAGAGCATGATAAATGACTCTGTTTTCTGTCACCGCAGCAGTGAGTCACCGCGTGCTGGGAGGTGTCAGGATGGTGCTTGTCTTCTGAGAAGTGAATCTGGCTCCCTTACTACTGTAATGTTTCTGTGCTGACTCATTTCTCTGGAAGACACGCATACTTTTCAATAAGCCCATGTTAGTGTTTTCTGCACTTCTTCAGTAACAGTAACGCTGTCTGTCACTTGGATACAGGGGAGCACCTCTGTCAGTGCAGTAATGTAATGTCTCACATAACTGTGCCTTTTCTAATCTTGGTGAAAGGACAGAGGCCTAAGCACATGGACTGGAGACTGGAAGAGTCACACGTGCTGCAGGAGCAAGACATCCTCCCAGAGGACACGGACGAAGATGGCATCTATGAAAGCTTCCAGCTTCTACAGATTGATGTGGAATGTGAGCCTCAGGAGAGGGAGGCCCTGCCCACAGGCAGTGCCTCATGGTGCTCGGTGAGTGCAGTGGGTGGCCATGGGCAGTGAGATGATGGAAGATCCCAGAGACCCCTCTTCTAAGGGTAGATACTGGTAACAAGAAGACTGGGAGTGAGTTTGGTGTATTCCAAGGGTTGAATTCCCTGCTCTCTGGTTTAAGGCTTCAGATCAAGAGGTTTTCTCTAAACACAATACAGTCCATTTTTAAAATATATATTTTATTGACCTTTTACAGAGAGGAAGGGAATGGGATAGAGAGCTAGAAACATTGATGAGAGAGAAACATTGATCAGCTGCCTCCTGCACTGGGGATGTGCCCACAACCAAGGCACATGCCCTCAACCAGAACCCTTCAGTCCATAGGCCGACTCTCTATCCCCTGAGCCAAACCAGTCAGGGCTAAACACAATCCAGTCCATTTCTTTTTTTTTTTTTTTTTTTTAATATATTTTATTGATTTTTTACAGATAGGAAGAGAGGGATAGAGAGTTAGAAACATCGGTGAGAGAGAATCATCGACCAGCTGCTTCTTGCACACCCCCTACCGGGGATGTGCCCGCAACCAAGATACATGCCCTTGACCGGAATCGAACCCGGGACCTTTCAGTCCGCAGGCAGACGCTCTACCACTGAGCCAAACCGGTTTTGGCAATCTAGTCCATTTCTGTTGTTAAAGCTAACATTTTCTCTCCTAAGTTTATATCTAAATTTTTTTTAAAAAGTAACTGTTTCTAATATTCATTTTCCTTTTTGGTGCTTATGAAGTTTTCAAACAATTTTGTTTTCTGGATAACCTAAGAAAAATGTGCAAAGAAAACAGAGACATTGGGAAAAGATAGTTGCAGCAAAGAAGAGCAAAAGAAAGCAAGAAAAAGAAAGAAGAAAAGCCAATCGTATAGAAAATTCAGATAACAGTAACTCAGGTTGGTGGTATAATTATATTTATTTGTTAGCAGACTGGTATCTGTATGTTCCTAGAAGAATAGTAATACTGTTTTTAAGTAAAAACAAACATCTAAGAGGTGAGACCTATAGTCCTATTTTGTTGGGCATCATAGTATCAAAGAACAAAACTGAAGCCTGCCTTTCAGATGCAAACTATATAGTGTACATATCTTCTACACTAATAAAAGAGAAAGATGCAAATTGACCATGCCTTAGCGATACCCATCAGCCAATCAGGATTGAGTATGCAAATTAGCCCAACAAAGATGATGGGTTAATTTGCATACATACGCTGAGCAGCCGGGGGTGGGGCGCAGGCGTTCTGCACCACCCCAGCCACTCAGGGCCTCTGAGCAGCCTGGGAAGGCAGAAAGGCGGCTCCAGGTCAGAGCAAAGGTGGTGCCGGCCGTCAGGGGAAGGAAGGCCCATTCTTGCAAGAATCTTTGTGCATTAGGCCTCTAGTGTGTTTATAAGCTCAGAAGTAGAAGGAATGATACCAACAGCTATGTGCTAGATTCAGTGCTAAGAATTTTACCTGGCTTACCCTAAAGGGTAGGTCTCTTATCCCCATTTTGAAGGTAAAAAGACTGAGGCTCAGAGGAATTAAATAACATGCTTAAGCTGATATGAGTAATAAAGGAACAAACTGAACTTAGATTTAGACCCAGCAGAGTGCTCCAGAGCCCACAGTCAACATCCCTCTGCTATACCTAAACTGCCTGATGAATGAATATCTGGCACAAGCTTCCAAGTTTCTAGTTTCCCTTCCTATGCAAATAGTACTCAGCTGGCTTGGGAGATTTGTTTCTTACTGAATATTATTCCTCTGTTTTCCCACTCATATTTCCATTCTAGGCATCTACCCCCAGCACAGCAAACGTTTCCTGAGATCCTTAACCAAGGAGAAACTTTTGGAAGCCAAACACTCAGGACCAAGACTCTGTATCGATTTAAGTATGACCCACCACATGTCTAAGAAGGTAAAACATCCACTAGCTTCCAAATTCCTGATTAACCCTTTGCCTCTGTGTTCATAATGTCCCATAGTCAAGTTACAGCCTTTCAGTTTCAGTTTTCCAGAGACGAAATCTTTGACCTTCTACTGGGGAGAGGAATATTTGCCTGGCTCTGTGGAGGTAACCTGGTGGCATGTCTTCCTGCAGTGTATGTGTTTTAATGATCACCCTACAGGTTCTGGAGTTCTGGGGATGGCTGAGCACATGGCACTCAACACTGAACAAATAAGATGGATAGCAATTTATTAGTCACACTAGAGGCCTGGTGCACGAAATTTGTGCATGGGTGGGGCCCTAGGCCTGACTGGTGATCAGGGCTGATCAGGGCTGGGCTAGCTGGGGCCCAAAGGTTCTTAAATTAAAAACCTTAAGGTCGGGAGAGGAGGCAACAGTCACTGGGCCAGGCGCAGTAGGAATGGACACCAGATGCCGAGCTGCCCTTGGCACCCTGCCATTGTGCAGTTCCCCGTCTTAACCCCTCCTCCTTCCCTCATTGCCAGATTTATGGGGGGGCCTTCTGGCCCGCTGGCTTGGTGGAGGGGCCGCGGAAGGTTGGCTGCCGGCCTTCAGCCCCCCTGGGAAAGGTGTTGTGTCCACCACCACCCATCTCCAGTTCCCTGTCCCATCCCTGGGCCCAAAGGCCCCGTGGGGTTGGTAGAAGAGGTGATAGGCCAGGCACGGAAGGAATGGACGCCAGTACCCTTGTTGGTGCCCACCACTGCACAGCTCACCTCCCCCTCCCACCCCCCGCGCTTCCCTCGCTGCTGTGCTGCCACCACAGCAGGCAGGTGGTGGGCCAAGGGGCCTGCTGGATGGGAGGGAGGGACAGGGCACGGGAGGTTAAAACTTCCAGTCCTTTACATCTCCTGGAGTAAGGGAGAAGGTGCCAAGTTTGTTTGATGGAGTATAAAAATGTCTGCATAGTAATATAGTGTAACCTCTATTTTTAAAAAATATATTTTGTTGATTTTTTACAGAGGAAGAGAGAGGGATATAGAGTTAGAAACATTGATGAGAGAGAAACATCAATCAGCTGCCTCCTGCACACCCCCGACTGGGGATGCACCCGCAACCAAGGTACATGCCTTTGACCGGAATCGAGCCTGGGACCTCTCAGTCCGCAGGCCAACGCTCTATCCACTGAGCCAAACCGGTTTCGGCTAACCTCTCTTTAATAAATAGTAAACATCACATGGTGAGATTTTAGACAAAAGCTAAAAGAACAATCTCATATTAGCTATGTAACGACAGATCCTGAAGGAGGGGGCGGGCTCAGTTTTTCCATTGACTCGCTGTTTCTTGGCTAGTTCATTACCTCAGCTGTCTACACGGTGATGCCAGGGGTGTGATGCGTACTCACACAAGCATGTACTCCCTTTCGGAGTGAAGGGGGTCGTTCTAGTTCATGAGATTTTCCAGAGAGGCACTCAGAGGACTTACTGAGTAACCCTTTATTGACAGTGAATTTAGAAATAGGGTATGTTTCCACCCTAAGTTGTTCTTGTTTCTTTGAAGGAACTAAGCAGGCTGGCTGGCCAGATCCGCAGGCTGTATGGTTCCAACAGGAAAGCTGACAGGCCATTTTGGATCTGCCTCACTGGATTCACAACAGACAGTCCCCTGTATGAAGAGTGTTTGAGGATGAATGATGGGTTTTCGAGTTACCTGGTAAGCCTCATTTTGCGTATTATTTGAATTGTCACCTATGAATAGGTTGTGGGATAATTTTTTTAACTTTTTCATATTTTGAGAAATTATCATACGTGTTTTCATTATTACAATCTAAATTTTTTTTGTAAGAACCGCTCATCAGTTCTTATATTTAAATTTTTCCTTCATTCCACCATGTTGGCAAAAATGTATGTATTTTGTGTCCTGTAATGGTATGCTAGACTGTATTCCAGGGGAAATGCCGTGAGTCTTTTCTTTGGAGGAAGAGAAAGAATCCTTATGGAAGTAATATGGATTTAAGATGAGTTTTAGGGAATACCAATTGCTTTTCAGCTCTTTCTATGGGATCTCATACATGTAGCAAATGACATACAGGCAAGAATCCAGATCAGTTCCTAAGAAATGCCACTGAACATGCCCTTGTGTCGCTGAGAATGGGCAGTGTGGCCTTTCCCAGGGAGGTCCATTGAGGCGGTGAGTGTGACGAGTGCCCCATGCAGTGCTGCACAATCAGCTGTGGTTGCTGTTACTGTCTTAACAGTCCCTTCCAGCCTTGCTTTCTTCTGTTTGATGATTCCTGAACATGCACTAGAGACCCACTCTCAGGGCCACATAGTCCCTTGCTCATGCCTTTCTTAGAATGATTCCCTCCACTTTGAGTGCTTCGTTCTGTTGTACGAGTCAGTCTCACCTCTTTTCAGCAACCCAGTTCCAGCATTCCCTTCGCTACAAGGTTGTCTCTGGGGGTGTCGCTCCCTCACCCGTAGTCCTGGAGTATGCTCCCTGTGTGTGTTAGGGCCCGTATACTTTCTGTCTCATTTCGTAGGGATGCATGTCTGTGCCTTTCTACGTCCCCTCCCCAGCTGAGCACTTTCTAAGAACAGGTTGTCAGACATATAGCCCCTTGGTGCATCTAGAGCCATGCATGAGAGAAACTACATGTCCAGTAAACTAGTTGCTGCACCATGGGCTGTCTTAACCTAGTTCACAGTGCACTGATTATTTGTATTTTTCAGCTAGACATAACAGAAGAAGACTGCTTTAGTGTATTCCCCCTGGAAACCCTTGTGTACCTGACTCCTGACTCTGAACATGGTATGTTCTTAACTACATAGATTCATGTAGCATTGTATCGAGCTAGTTTCCCTGGTCAGCTCCCTCCATTGACCCTTTTGGATCAATTAGATATATTGTATATCATCTATTTTAGGAAATCATCTATGTCACATAATTTTCAAGTTTATTGATATTAAGTTGACCTTCATATTCTCTTCTATTTCACATTCCTTTGTAATTTTAATTTTGTCTCCTTCCTGAATCCTAATGTTGGTTTGAGTCTACCACCTTTTTACCTTCGATAAGATATTCCAAAGGTTTATCTATTTGTTTTTTCTAGAGGATTAGAAAATCTATCTTTGTTTTCTATTTCATGAAATTCCTACTTTTATCATTCTTTCTTTGGATTTAGAAATTATACAGATTTTATCTCATTAGCCTTCATTTCTTCATTAGCTCTTGAAGATGTTGATCTAAACAAAGTTTACATCCTTGGTGGACTTGTGGACGAAAGCATTCAGAAGGCAAGTGTACATTTTTGGCTGAAAAACTGTATTCTGAAAAATGGTTCTTACTTTTAGAGGCACCTACCCTGTAATAATCTTACCCGAAGGCCTAGAAACACTAAGGGAATAAGGAGGAGTCTATTCTGCCTGAGTTGGCCCTCCCTCTTGGGAAGTTCCCTCTCCTCCTCAGCAATGTCAGCAGTGCTTTCCTGATAGAACCCAGGACCAGGACGGGGTGTTTGGTAATTACATCAATAGCCACTGTGGAGCTCCTCTCTCTTCATTTCTGTAAGGATAGCTCTGATCTTGACCAAGTAAGTATTGCCTCAGCATTCTTACTAGCTGTATGTTCTGGGTGAGAGAGTAGTTTGCTCCTTCTTAGTCCATCTTCCCTGCTGATGTAAGTCTTATAAGCTCAATCTCAATAGTACTTGTCCAGATTTCTTTTTTTAAAAATATATTTTATTGATTTTTCTTACAGAGAGGAAGGGAGAGAGATAGAGAGCCAGAAACGTTGATGAGAGAGAAACATCAACCAGCTGCCTCTTGCATACCCCCTACTGGGGATGTGCCCGCAACCAATGTACATGCCCTTGACCAGAATCGAACCTGGGACCTTTGAGTCCGCAGACCGACGCTCTACCGCTGAGCCACACCGGTTTCTGCCAGATTTTATTGAATTGGAATTGTATTGGAATAATGGGAGTTTTTCAATGTGTTTCTATTATATAAATATTTTTTATTTTACTTTACTAATTAGCATTGCATAGATAATAAAGAATAACATGAGTTAAAATGTATAAAAAAGAATACAGTGAGAATAAGTCTTCCTCCAATCCTTGTCCCCCAAGTGTCCCCAAATAAGTGAGGCGTTGCTCCACAAGCTATTTCTTACTTGGGACAAATACTCTTCATCATCTGCAGAACTCTTAATTATCTGCAGGCTACTTTTCTTTTTTTTCACTTTATCTTTTAAAAATTATTTTATTACTTTTTATTGAATTTGTTGGGGTGACATGGTTAATAACAGGCTGCTTATTTTTACTACACTTACCATCATTAATTATAATTACAGATGGAAATTAGGGTGATAAATGGGGATTCTCAGTTTGCTATGCATGAAAATATTTTCAAGTATTATTTTTAAAAGAAAAATATTTAACTGTGATTTACAGAAGGTGACATTTCAAAAGGCCCGAGAACACTCTGTCAAGACAGCCCGCTTGCCAATCCAGGAATACATGGTCAGACGCCAGAATGGAAAGAACTATCATTCAGAGATATTGGCCATCAATCAAGGTACAGCTCACATAGCCCACACTTAATGTGTGAATTAGTTCTGATGCCTAAGTATGAATGGCCTTGATGCCGCTTCCCCCCATGACTGATGCGCTTGTACTTTATTGCATGCACTTCGTGTCATTTATTCTGTCTTCTCAGAGCTATTTTTAATTTTCTTCCTAATTCCAATCTATGTTAAATGCAGTTGAAATTGTTGCCTTGACCTAGAAGGCCCTGCCTTATCCCATGATTGACCAGTGAATTCAGGATTCAGTCCACAGGCATTTTGGCTGCTCCTCCCTGTCCCAGGCCATGTCAGGACCCTTCCTGTGTGTCCCCACGGTATTGTGTTCCTCTCTGCTGCAGCATTGTCCACTTAGACGCCTACATCTCTCAGTGTAGGCAGTGCTTATGGGCAAGCAGGGCCTGTAGCTTTGCCTTTGTCTCCCCAGGATCTAATACCAGGTGTGGTACAGAGTAGGTTTGTTGAATATTCAAGAACACCCTTTTCATTAGTCATTTACTAGTTCTTTTTTCAGTGTGTGGTCACTGTGTTTTCTCTTTATCTTACAGTATTTGATATCCTGTCCACTTACTTTGAGACTCAAAACTGGCCTGAAGCATTGAAGAAAGGAGTTTCTTCCAGAAAAGGCTATGTTCTTCAGAACTCAGTGGAATGATGAACAGCCTAAGGCTGCACCTGCAGGAGGTGAAGTTGCTGGAAGGGCCTTGACCAAAGAGTAGAGCAAAGGTGGTGATGGCACACACTTGCTTTACTTGACATCTCAGCTCTTCATTAGGATGTTACTAATCACAGGGACTACATTTTATGCTCTTTTGTATTCCTATAGTGCCTAGCTCAGGAAGTGCCCAGTATATCTTAACTAAGTAAAAAGTTTACATAATAAGGAATTAGCCCTTAAACTACATGGCTTTGGGTGTGTTAATTTATTTTTCTACATCTGGTTGTGAAAAATCTACTCTTTAGAGGTAGCTTAAATAATTAAATATTATGATATCAAGAGCTTAATTTTACTAAAGTGGCATCATAAAGTTTATGACTTTGTCCATCCTGCTCTGATCATGCTGATTTTCCCTAACTCAGTAATATGCAGTACATGTGCTTTTCAGGATCAGCCTGTCCTAACCTCTTTAAACCCCCATAGCAATTTCTCCACCTGTGGCTCCTACCTTGTCTCCCTTGTGCAGAGTATGGGTGTGGAAGGCTTCTCTCTTCCTAACTGTAGCCTTCCCACAGGACAATTTGTGCGAGTATTTTTGTATCCCTCTGAGCCTTGTACAAACTAGAGTTTTCACATACATTTGTAATTATTAGTTCCAATTGAAAAGCAAAAACAGTACTGATAAGTCTAACTTGAAAATAGCCAGAAAACACACTGCATCTCACACAAGCATGTTAGAGAACCTCATTATGCAAATCTCAGTGATTCTTTTTCTCATGTCCTACTTAGATACAACTGCTTCAGTTACTATGGCCAGTTTATGTTGGTCAATTATTTATGTCTAAGCTGCTAGCAAATTGAAAAAAATGTAATCTATATTTCAAAAGAACCAAAAGGTTACCTCTGGATTCTATCTCCTCCCTTTCACAAGTTAATCCCTCAGGAACTATGAAAATATTTAGGAATATCTTTATCAACATGTTCTATAAATCTCTGTCATCCAGAAGGGACCTGTATGAAGAGGCCTCAGGGGGAGGTCTCTGACCAAAGAAACATTGTCCTAGATCATCTGTCTGGCTTCATTTTGGCCTCAAAATGCCAAAAAACAGAATTTCCTCTCCAACTCTATCACAAACATCTATAATTTTTTCAAAACCTAGGTAGATAGTTTTTTGTTTGGCTTCTAGGAAATGACCCTTAGCAAAATAAGATTTGGATGAACTTATATTCAGAGATCCTCATCATAGTGTTTTTTATAACACAAAAAAAAACTGGACAGCCGAAACTGGTTTGGCTCAGTGGATAAAGCGTCAGCCTGCAGACTTAAAGGTCCCAGGTTTGATTCTGGTCAAGGGCATGTACCTTGGTTGCGGGCACATCCCCAGTGTGCAAGAGGCAGCTAATCGATGTTTCTAACTCTCTATCCCTCTCTGTAAAAAATCAATAAAATATATATTTTCAAAAAAGGGCACAGAGGCTGTCATTAAAAAAACAAAAACTGGACATATTCAAAATATCCTATAACATGAAAATGAAACATTATACAACTATGGAATTTTTAATAGCAATTATAAAATAAATATATTTAAAAGTTTGAAGTGGACAAAGTCTATTACAAACTAGTATTATAAGATATGATCCTATAATTCCAATTTGAAAAACATACATTCACATATAGTGGTTGAGAATGTCAGCCAAGTTAAGCCTCAGTTTCTTGCACTAGGAGGTTGTCTTTTGCAGTTAATAAGTAAGTCCATCCAAATAAAACACTTGGAACAATACTTGATTTGTAAGCTTATGATAATTGTTACCTGTTACATACCACTACATAATAGGATTACAAGTGATTTTTGTTTGCTTCTTCATACAGTGAACATGTTTTACTATTATCAGAAAATAAGTGTTATTTTAATGCTTCCAGCAAAATTAAGGAAATTAACACCAAATAAATCATAATACTTACTTTTAGTAAACTTTATTATAAAAGAACCAAAAATACTATTTTATAATTATTTTTCTCATCCACAAGAACATGAGTGGCAACCAGTGACTTTATAAAAATATTTTAAGACTCACATAAGACAGTATTTTATCTTCTGAAGATTAGTGGGGAGAGGTTCACCTGAAAAATTTCCCCCAGGGAATCCAGTCTCTTAGCTCACCTATAAAAAAAATCCATAGATCAACTTTCTGCCAACCTGGAGAAGATTTGTTTTCTTTGATCCGCTGTCATATGTTCACAAGCTTCTAAAATGTTTGCCAAAATTAAGGTCTGCTGAATGGTTTTTGCCTTCACCCATATTCTCCCATTCATTCCAAACACTATTTCCAATGGGTACAGTTTTCCCACTTCCTGTAGGATTTCACAGTCTGGAGCTAGCAGCCTGGTGAGGAAAAGGAAAGAAAATGAAGTTTTAATGAAGTGGTAGAGTGTGACTGACTTTCCTTTAGGACTCCTTTTCTAGGCAGTTCTCCACAGTTATAAAAGCCACTAACATCATTCCCAGCACAAGGCACATGACAACATTTACTGCCCCTTTTCTTCTAAGATTTACACCGAGTGTATCAGGCCACAGGTGGGCTAGTCTCAACAAAGAAATCAAACTCCCTGTATCACCAACTTCACTAGAAACGTATAAACTTCTTCCCCTACATTGTCAGAGCACCTTAATTCTAGACTTTAAAACCATAGCTTTTAAAAATTATTTACAGTGCTAAAAGAACATCTTAAACTTACTTTCCTGACCATGTAAGTTAATCCCTGGTATTAAATTCACTACCTGGAGAGAAGTGTTAACTCTTTCAAACCACAAGGGTGCTGCTTGATTAATAACATGCTTCTCTAACGACCTGAACTAATTCTCCAAACCTGTGGAATAAGTAGCAGAGTCAATCAAGAGAGCTCTGAACTTCGGAATCTACAAGTAACACCCTTTAACAGGGCACAGCTTAGGGTAGGTAAAGGTGTAAACACCTAACAGAAAGAAACTTTTTTTTAAATTGATTTTTAGGAAGAGAAACATCAATGTGAGAGAAACATTGATTGGTTGCCTCCCGCTTGCACCCTAAGTGTGGACTAAATCCACAACCTGAGTATGTACCCTGACCAGGAATTGAACCAGCCACCTTTTGACATATGAGATGATGATCCAACCAACTGAGCTGCCGAGGCTGAGAACTATTAAATCTACCAGATCAGTTAGAAGTCTTCTGTGAATATGTCTGCATAAGCTCAAGGATCATATTAGCCAATCTGCACTGCTCCCATCATTAGATAAATTTGGTTATTTTGTACAAATTGTATCTGTATTAAAGTGATGTGGGGGGAAAGGCCAGTTTTTATGTGTTTAATCTTAAAAAACCCAAACACAAGGATATGTTTTTACTGATTTTTAGAAAGGAAGAGAGAGAAACACCAATCAGTTGCCTCCCTTAAGCACCCAACAGGGAATCGAACCTATAACCTAGGTATGTGTCTTGACCAGGAATCAGACCCACAACCTTCTGGTGTAGGGGATGACGCCCTACCAACTGAGCCGCGTGGCCAGGGCGGAAAGGCCAGTTTTTATATTTGAGCTGAGTATATCAGCTGTAAGAAACGATAAACCTGGGAGGGCAGCCCAGACTCCATATAAACATAGAAACTAGACCACCAAGAACAATGGGACTAAATGCTTACAAGTATGCTTAAATGGATAATGATTTTTAACTCTGAGGAAATTCTGATGCTGTTACGAAGAATCCAAATCCCAAAGATCAGTTGGCTTTCCAAGAAGATATAATTATGAAAGACCAGGAAGCCAGAAAGCATTAGGACTTACTTTCTAATTAAGCCCAGAGTCACTTTAAAAAGTAGACCATCCTGTCCAATCACACCCATTCCGTTGGCTCGTCCACAGCTGTCAATACAAACCATCTCTGGTTCCATATCTTTATTAGCAACCACAAATTGTCCATAAATGAGATCTCCGACCTACAATGATAATTTAAAAATAGTAACCATTTTATAATTGTTCTTTCCCACGGACAGCAAAGCCAACCACCTACAGTTCTGTAGATGAGGGACTGACTACATGCCAGGATTCGCAGCCATTTACACAGCATTAACACACCTACCCTCTCCCTTAACCCACCAGGAAATCTCAAGACTGGAGCCATCTCAGAGCCAAGATTCAAATACCCTCTCACTGTCCAATGTGGTAGCCATTTGCCCACAAGTAGTAATTTTAACTCACTTTTGAATTAATTAAAATTCAGTACTTAAAATTCAGTTCCTTAGTTGCATTAGCCATATTTCAAATGTTCAACAGGCATGTGTGGCGAGGGGCTACCATACTAATCCTCGTGGAACTAAAGCATTAGCATCATCACAGGAAGTGCTAGTACAATAGGTAGCTCTGCTCTAGGGAATTACAGAAGATAGATGGATAGAAGAAACTTCTGGCATGCATGTTATTTAAAGCAAAATGGAACAATGGCAATTCACTGACACTTCTCCATGCAAGATTTTAAAATTTCAAAGTTGAATTTCAAAATTATGAAACTAAAGACACTGAGAGTGAACTTGTTTATCTGTTAAGTTGGTGATTATACTAATAAAAGGATAATATGCTAATTGTTGATATTTGGCTCTGTTGACTAGTTTGCCAACCACTAGCCTAGAGTGATCACTCAGATGCTTGGAGGCCAACCTATAAAACTGGGAAAATAATCATACTTTGGAGGCAATTCTGGTGGCATTAAGAATATTTGGATGTTTTTCTTCTTTTGAAACCAAAGTTTCCTATCATTACCTGCACATTTGGTCTGTTTCTTTTAGTTGCACCTTCAAATGCCAAGTAAGACAAAGATGCTGGCTCGCTCCCTCCAACATCAACTTTAAATATATCTCCAGATTTAGCTGTCACTATGCCAATCACATGGTCTCCTTTCACTGGGACATACTACAAAAGAAATCAGAGTGAGAGAAAAACCATAAATGACAATCTTGGAAGACATCTTCAGCAAGTCCTTACTGGTTACTAACGTTTGTCATTGTAGGTATTTAAGAAATATTTTGAAACCTAATTTACAAATTAATACAAATCTTACAATAAACTTGGTCATACACCACTTTCAGTAAAAGAAAAACAATCACATCATACAACTCTCAGGTTTACAGCTTCTAAAAGTCTGTTCATTTGAGCTGGTATCCCATACCTCTTCTGTATCAGGAAGGCCATTTCAATGTTAGACAATTTT